TAGACCTAACCCTAAAAAGCTTAGGGCGGTATAGGAATAGGAATCCCCTAGGAATATAAGAGAGGTAAGGAGTTTTCTAGGTTTTACTAACTTCTACTATAATTTTATTATAAAGTTTTCTAAAGTGGCAGCACCTTTAAACTAACTAACTAGAAAGAATACTCTATTCTAATAGGGAGAGGAGGAATAAAGTATATTTAATGCGCTAAAAAAGGCGTTTATATTAGGACTAGTATTAATATAATAGGACCTAGCTAGAGAAATGTTATTAGAAGTAGACTATTTAGGATATACTCTTAGGGGTTGCTTATTGCAAAAAGTTAGGGGCGTCTAGCGCCTAGTTACTTACTACTCTATAGCACTAACACTAGAGAGACAAAACTACACTATACACAACAAGGAATTGCTTGCTATTATAGAGTATCTTAAAAGTTAGTTAGCAGAGTTATAGAGCGTTTATAAGCTATTTATAATATTTATAGACTATAAAAACTTAGAGTACTTTACTAGCCTTTAAAGCTTAAGTAAGTAATAGTGCTACTAGGTAGAGGAACTTTTAAAATATTAGTATATCCTATAGTATAGGCCTAGCTATCTTACAGGATAACCTAATACCTTAAGTAGATAACTATAAGATTTAAACTCCTCTAAAGCAATACTATAGTTAGTAATGCGCCCTAAATTAATTTAGGTTGTAGTGTTAGAAGTAGAGGAGGCGTCTAAGTTACTAAAGGGCGCTAGCCTCTTTGCTAACCTGCATATATAGACACTATAGGACAAAGTAGTACTAGAAGATAAGATATACTAAGTACGTCTTAATATGGTTTAGAAAGGCGCTAGGTCTTTCCTAGTTTTAGCTAATATAAACTAATAGATTAGGGACTATATAATTAGCGTATATAGCACTTTGCTCTAGAGGGGTGTTATTTAGTTACTAATATAGTAACCCCTTATAACTACTATTATATAGCAAGTATATAAATTAGGTTTAGTAGGATATCTAGGAAAGAATATAATATTTTAAATACTACGCCGCGACTATTATTAGGATAGAATATTAGGAGATGTTGCGTAGTATATTTAAAACTGCTATTATTATAGTGCTTATATCTCCTAGAAGCGCTAATAGGGTCTATTATAACCTATACTAGTCGCGTTATAATACTAGTCCTAAATATCTATAGATTTTATAGTTAACCTACCTATAAAAGATAATAGCAAACCCTAGTCCCTATTAGTTATTACTAATAGATTATCTAAATATATTTAGCTTAAAGCAACAGTCTTTATAGTAGCTAATTATTGTGCAAGGATCTTCTAGGATAACTAGTAGTAGTTCTAGGGCTTCCTATCCTCTATTATTACTAACTAAGGTTTAGACTAGTTAGGATCCTTCTAGATAATATTATACTAGATAATAAAGATAAACTAGTTACTATCTACTATATATCACCCTTAGACAGACAGCAGGACAGAGCAGGTAAACTAAGAAGTGTAGGTAGTGCTGCGCATAATAGTATGCTTTAAGCAGACTAACTAGCCTAACTACCTACTAGCCTACTAACTTGCACTTAATAATAGGGACTCTAGTATAACTAGTATTAGCCTAAATCTACTTTTAAATAGGTATACTGTAGACACGCTATAAAAGTTAATATTACTACTAGTAAAGCCTAAGAATCCTTATAGGGAGGCTATAGCGTTCTTATTACACCTATAGAGGGGTGTAGAGCTAGTGTAAGCTACTATTATATTCTAATAGTAATAATAATAGGAAGCAATAAACTAGTCCTAACGCCTAGCTAAAAAGTTCCTAAAAGGTAATATAGTTTAGTTTGCAATACGTAATATAAAGATAAACTAACTAAGTAAAAAGTTTAACTAGCTATAGGTAAAGTATAAAGTAATAGAAGTTCCTACTCTACTTATAGTAGTATTAGACTTACTAGGGAGCTTATATAAGACTATACATGTAGATCTACTAGAGAGAGCTGCTAATAACCTACTACTAAGCTAGAAGCTTTAGGACTTATAACTAGGTCTAATAGTTACTCTAGAAAATAAAGATATAATACTAGATAAATAGGAAGTAGAAGAGATCCTTTATACAAAGAATATAAGAGGAAAAGGGAAGTATTAAGTCCTAGTAAAATAGAAGGGGTATATTAATCTAACATAGCACCTACTAGAGGTAGTGTAGGATACTAAGGCTCTAGATAGGTTTAAGGAATAGTATAGGGATACTATATATAATAATAGCCTAATACGCACAAAAACTAGGAAGTAAGGGTAAAAGGAAACTAGAATAATAACTTAGACCTTTATTATAATTAAGAAGTAGAAAGGTATAGGAGAAATCTTTTAATTATCCTTATAACACTCTAAGTAAGTGCCCTACTACTAAAGTTTTATAATATAGCTAATAATTAGGTAGTAGTATCTATACTATTACTATCTATAACTAACCCCCTCTTAGCCCCCCCTAAACTATTATTTATATTATTCTAACGCCTCTATATCTCTTAGTAATAGTAGTAGCGCTTACGCGCGTTATAGGTAGGAGACAACTTAGTTAACAAGTACGAGCGGTAGCAGTAGCGGCGTTAGAAGGAGGGTAGTGCTTTAATAGCTTACTAGCGCGTAGCACCCTAGGCCTAAAGAAAATAAATATTAGAATAGATATAAAGGGAACAAGGGAAAAATAATACTAATAATAAGAGTCTTAATACCTTAGGTAGTGCGCTTAGTAGCGCTTTTAAGCTAGTTAATATAAAGGTTAGTTTAGGCCTAGGTCTTATTTATACGCTAGTTAATACACTAAAAGGTAATACTAGTAGTAGTAGTAAGCTATATAATATTATTATTACTATAACTACTATATAAAGGCGTAATAGCAGACTAAAGAGGAAATACTAGAGCACTAGTAGTAGATAGAATAATAGTACTAAGCTAATACTAATTATAGGCGCGCAAGTAAGTAGTAGGGGTAAGTAGAGTAATAGCGTTATTAGTTTAAGCCCTTAATATAAGATCCTTAAAATAATAGTAGAGCTAGTAAAACTATAGTATAAACTAGTAATAGGTGCCTTTAGTAGGTTTCCTTATAAAAGTGCTAAGGGTCCCTTTCTTTATAATATAAAGGTAATCTTTCTAGTAACTATAATAAAACTAAAGCTAGTTATAGAGGGCTTAGCAAACGTTAGGATTATTAGTAAGGATAGCTTCTAACCAAGTATAAGTCTTATAGCTATAATAGCAGGACTTATATAAGCGCCCTAGATATAGTTAGAACTTGCTATAAAGAAAATAAAAATTAAGGGGAACTTACTACTACCCTCTTAATAGTTATACTTACTAAAGAGATAAAGCTAGTTAATATACTAATTATAGGGAAGCAGCTTTATAAAGCTACTATTATATTCCTTATTATCTAAGTTACTAGAAATAATAAAGCTACTAAGCAACTAGGTTTAGGGAGATGTGTGCTAAATAAAAAGTTAGTGCAGGAAATATAGGGAGAATATTAGAAGCACACACCTTATCTTAGTAGGCCTAGCGTGGGGTCTAACTACCTTATAGTAGATCCCTACTACTAGCACTAGTAGCTATAGATAAAGATATAATAGGGACTAGATAGGCAGGATTAATAGAAAAAGATTAGAGAAGGGGCTAATTAGTAGGGAAAATCTATTATATAACAAAGTAAGTTTAGGAAATTTATAGTAGGGTAGGATAGCTATATTAGAACTTTTATAGTAGGGTGCTAAAATAAGCGTATAGACACTACGCGCGCGTACTACTTAATATATAGGCCTATTATAAATTAGGAAGGAATATAAAGATATAATAATAAAACTAAAAAATATAGTAATAAAGCCTAATATAGATTATAGAGGATAAAGATATAACCCTAAACCCCTAAAAAGACAATTTTATAATAGTTTATAGGGGAAGGTTAGGGGTATATAAAGGACTTAGGCTTATGCCTAAGCCTAGGTCTAATATAAGATAGACTAAGTCTAACACTACTACTAAGCGAACACACTAGATACCTATAAAAAGGCGTGGAGGGCTTATCTCTCCTTTAAGATACTAAATACTATTATCAACGCTTATTGCATTCTTCCCTTGAGGCCAGTCCATAACAGCAAGAGTCTCTAGTACTCTTGCTAACACCCTCTAGCGATCTTTCTACCTATAGTATCTTTAATAGGATAGTTGTATGTCTACTTAGCTACTATAATCCTTAAGGCTAGCCTACGCCTCTACTATTTCTTTAAATAACTACCTAACTTATTAAAGTGTTTAAATAACTACTTCTAATTTAGTATGCTTGTTTAAATATTCGCGACCTTTATAGCTACCTATAGGGGTTAGTGTAGACTCCTAGCCTATATTACTACTAAAGATATCCTTATCTTTAGTACTATATATTATAGCAATATTTGTTACTAGTTTAATAGAGCTAAGATAGCCCTAAGATAGTGTATTAAGGGCTAATAGTATAGATAAGAGTAGGCTAGATAGTTAATTTAGAGGAGGGCTATATATCTAAGAAAATAAGCTAGGTATAGCTATAATATATATAATTAATAGAGAATATCTTAAATATTAATTTACTTATAGAGGCAAGACTATAACGTGTTATAGTAGATAGGATATATTAGGTTAAGTTATATGCTATCTCCTTATATAACCTAAATCTAAGTATTACTAAAACCTATCCTATTATTCCTTAGACGCCCTAGCGAGCTTTGCCCTGCGGCTGGCGTGATTGGTTAAGGAGTTTTTAGCGCAACGCTAATCCCTTTGGAGTTCCTAGGAGTTTTTAGCGTTGCACTAGCAGGGGTAAAAGCTTGTTAGAGCGTTCTGATGAATGAGATAATCACATGTTTGGGTTTTGGGGTGATTACTAACGTTACGTACCGGTATTGAATACACTAACCAAATGGAGTCATCAGAATTGTCCACCACCTTACCATGTCCATCAAGGCTTCGACATGACTTCAATAAAGTCACTCATCTCCTTCCGACTTGACCTGCCACCTAGCTGCATCGAGTTCTTCCCCCTCAACCCGCAGTATGCCGTCATCGGCACATACAATCTCGAAAAATCAGATGCAGCAGAATCTGCAGGCTCCGCCCCCCACGATGGTCATGTGAAAAGCGTCAAGAGCCAGCAGCGCAATGGCAGTCTGGTCCTTGTACGTGTCATGGGAGATAATGTGTACGCCCAGGGAAATGGCCATCTGTTCAAGCCATGAAACTGACTTCAAGACAGCGACATCATCCAATCCTTGCCCACACCCTCAGCAGTTCTGGACGTACACTTCTTGACCCAGGTGCCCAGCTCCAACTTTGGCGTTGCCACTTCCACCGGCGCCTTTGCCATCTATGAGCTGAAGTCTTGGAAGCGGAATCCGGAAATCAGTCACATCAAGACTATCCAGTATTTCCCTGAAGACGTTCTCATCACCGCCTTCTCATGGCATCCAGAGTCATACATGATCGGCATGACGCTGTCAAACAACCAAGTGCATCTAGGAATCATCGACACCGAGGACGACAACGACACTCCATCCACTATGGAGGTCACGCGTCATGATCTTGAGGCCTGGACATTGGCTTTCCTGTCCGATGGCTCGGGAATTCTGTCCGGTGGTGATGACAGCACACTACGTTTTGCCGAACTCACAGAGGGTACAGAACTCAGCGTACCATGGACTGACCAAAGGATTCATGATGCGGGCGTAACAGCCATTTTACCTGTCCATCTAGACGACGAGGGTGCATTGATGGTCACTGGTAGCTACGATGACCACATCAGACTTCTCCACGCATCTAAAGGTGGTCAGCGAAAGGTTCTGGCAGACACTAATCTAGGAGGCGGCGTGTGGCGTTTGAAGCTGCTTGATCGGAACCCAAAGCTCCCTGCGCATCACGGGGTGGAGAAATGGAGATCGGAGCCACCCCCAGAGACATTGTTGCTGTTGGTTAGCTGTATGCATGCCGGGGCGCGGATTATAAGGCTCGTAAGGAGTGGCGAGGACGAGGACAAGGAATGGAACTTTGAAGTACTTGCCAGGTTTGAGGAGCACGAGAGTATGAATTATGGAAGTGATAGCCAGCCGGAGCTGAACAGCGCGGGAGAGCGGACATTCATCTCAACAAGCTTTTACGATAGACGGTTGTGTTTGTGGCGGTATTAGAGCCTTTCCCTGCATCTCGGCTTGCCGCGGTGCTATCAATACCTAGCTACATTGGCTTGCTGAGAGATACACGCCCTAGACTTGTGGTATATATCCATATGGTAGCGATCTGGATTACACAGAGTGTTTAGCGGAACTGCAGTCTTTCGACCTGTTTGTCACCTCCCACCCAGACCATACAACTCTTTAGCCTCTCCTACCGTTCTTATCGTCCGCCCCACAAATGTACTTGTACTCACTGAGATAGTGACAATCGGGCTCAGCAAGACATTGCCTGCACGCGTGACGCGAATGGCGGAGCATTGCGCGTAATGTCATGTTCTATTTTTACTAATACTATTTCAGCTCTACCTAAGGCTCTGAAACCTCAACGTCATCTACTATATATTCAAGATCAGTCTGCCAGTCTCCTTAGTTCCCATCCCACGCAAGTTTAGTTTGTCGTTTGTTTAAAAACTCGATTGCTGTTCAAGATATTTAGTAAATCTATGGTAGCATGATCACAATATTTCCCGGTCTTCCTTTATACAGTAGCAGCGGATCCATGTATGGCTTTGACCGCTAGGTAGGCTGAGATATTGCAGTATCCCTTGCATCCTGTACTTCATTAACGCCTTTATATTACTCTAAGTTTCCTCGACAACTTATATTATCGCTTGCCCTTCTTCAACACCAGACCCTTCCAGCCTTTGCTATCTTTAATTCGCCTGAACGCTTTGCTCGCCACTGGGTCCTTGCCCAACTCTTCTTGACAAACCTTTCTCTCTTCCTCACTCTCATGCTCATGAAATTCACACCATTCCTTCTCCATTTTTGGTCTCTCTCCTCGTGCGAGCATCGTCACTAACTCGAACAGAAACGCTTGTGGCAGCTGACTTCGTAACGCAATGGTACGCTCATCATCGCGATCTGGGTTCCAGTATACAGAGTACATATCGAGAAAGTACCTGCAGAGGGACGCATCTGGAGGGAGACTCTCGTACGCCGCGATCACATTGCTGTGATCAGGCATGGCCTGGAGAATCTCATCGTTGTTTTGCCACGCAAGAATCACTGCGCGGCGCAATTTAGGAATAGCATATCGATGTGCGAACACATATAAGGATATGAATCGCCGCTCCAGGAAACCCTCTAGACCTCGCCATTTATAAGGCCTCGAGCAACAAGGACATAGAGTTTCTTTGGGTATCTCGGGTTTCTCTGCTGGATTCCGGACCGGTGGTGTTATGGCGGTCTTCTCGCTCTCGCTATCGCCAGGCACTTTTTCAGCGCTTGGTTGAATGGGGCTAGTGGCTGTGTCTCTGCCGCCTTGTGCATCTATGGTAGTGTCGTCGGTCTCGAGAGCAATGCCCCACGAGGCTGTGTCGACATCGTCACCTTCGGTGTGTTCTGTCAAAGTGGTACTGTCGCCGTTGCTAAGGCTGATGGCGTGTGTGGGAGGATGTATCTCTTTGCCGCCTTCGATGAGGTGGTGTGGGATGAAGCCCGTGTAAAGCCAAAGCATGAAGGCATCGAAAACATCGGGACTGGTATCATCTAGCTCGAGTGTGGTGTTTGAATGCTGGTATGGTGATTCACTCCTCTGTTCCAAGCATTGGGCAAAGTACGATGAGCATCGTTTGAGCAGCTCGCGATGGCAACTAAAAGACTCTGGGTAATCGTTGCCGCCGACCTTGACGGTGATGATGGTCTGGTCAAAGTTTCTACCCCTGGTCAGTCGTCCAGCTTGGTGGAGACGATTACAAGAATGGAATTCCTCACCTGAAGGTATAACCTAATGTTGTCGCTCCCTTGATGAACGGCATTTTGAGAAGGTAATCTGGTTCCATTTACAGTTGTTGCATGAAGGAAAGCCATCTTATAGCTCCATCTCGTACCGGTACCATTTCCCCAGGCACCGGTACCGGTATGGAGGCAACAGTTTCAGGAACACTGACAGTACTTCTTGGCGTTCGACCTTTTGCTTCCCAATGCTTGTTTGAGGGCTGGCCCACGGCTCCAGAGAGCTTATGTTAAAAGGAAAGCTTATTTGAAACACACAGAGAGGGACAGAGTGGCTGAGAGATGGGCGATCGCGCAGCAGAGCAGGGTTAGCAAGGCATTCTGATGTACAGGGCGGGTTTCGTCTGCTGTTTCATAGCACTTGGCGCAGGAAGGCGGGGGCGTGATGTGCCTCAGCAACGCTTCACACTAGCCCTCTGAGTTCTGTGGTTGGTAATGAAGCAAGCAAGCAAAGCGTTTTCTATAGTAGTACCGGTATACTACACACCCAACCATATCCTGTCCTGGCCAAGTGCACAGAGCGAGGCGATTGTTGTTGACGAGGCGAGGTGTACGGTACCGTATACAGATGTCGAATGATGCCAAAGGATGTGTGGGTACCGGTACCGGTAGGTAGGGGGTAGAGCACACTGTGGAAAGAAAAAGAATCAGGTTGGGTATGACAATTGCTGGTCCACAGACTACCCAGACGACTTCCCACTGTTGTTTTTGCGCATTGCTTGCGATGGTGTTCTTTCGTCAAACGGCCGACCTGTCCACGACAAGCCGGAAGTCGAAGGAGAAACAACCCAAGGTTGAGCCGAGATTGAGGCGACGACGTGTCCAAGCTCTTGGCTCACGTGCATAGGCACGGGCACCTAACTTAACTCCCACCTACCTACACCCTCACGGTACCGGTGTTCTTCCCGAGCTCGCATTCCACACCCATCCGCAAGAACTTGATCTCTACTCTTAAACGTCGAGGATCTGCCAAGATGTATGACACATGGTCCACGGCAAGTCCGAAATGTACGATGGTCGCTAGGTACCGTACCCTATCCGATGGCTGACCCCGCATTCGATTGACAACCAAAGTTGAGGCCCGGGTGATGGTCATGTCCTGGACTGGCAACGCCGCCTCCCGGGTAGGTACCGCTGTATACATATATATAATCGTAGCTTGATCGTTTCAGATCTTTGCTGTCTATTTCAGGATCCCCAGGAGGAATTGCGTACATATCTAGCACACTCGGAGCCACGGACGCAAACATGACGCTCAAGCTCGACATCACCCGTTATCCCGGCAACATTATCAATGGCAACTTTGTTCCAACGCCCAAGACTCATCACTCAATCAACCCGGCAACCGCCAAAGCCCTTTACGAAGTCCCTATTGCGCGTGAAGAAGACGTTGAGGCTGCCGTCAAAGCAGCAAGAACAGCATTCAAGTCCTGGAGCACCACCCCATTCTCTGAGCGCGCCAATCTTCTCCTCAAATACGCAGACGCCATCGAAGCAGCACGCCATGAAATTGAAAGCCTACTGACGATGGAGCAAGGCAAGCCTTTGTCCTTGTCCCATACAGAAGTCGAGTGCACGCTGAAGTGGTTTCGTGCGTTTGCAACCATGGAGATCAAGGACGAGGTACTGAAGGACGACGATGAAAAGACAGTCTATTCCACCCGCATCCCTCTTGGCGTATGTGCAGGCATTGTCCCCTGGAACTGGCCGATTTTGCTCGGTCTTGGAAAGCTGGGCCCAGCTGTGATTACCGGCAATACGTTCATCATGAAACCCTCACCATACACACCGTATTGCAATCTAAAGCTGGGCGAGCTGGCCATGTCCATCTTTCCGCCTGGAGTCGTCCAAGTCTTGTCTGGTGATCACATGCTTGGACCATGGATCACAGAGCACCCGGGCATCGACAAGATAGCGTTCACCGGCTCAATCGCAACCGGGAAACTCGTAGCAGCATCGTGTGCAAAGACACTCAAGCGCTACACTTTGGAGCTAGGTGGCAACGACGCCGCTATCGTTTGTGGAGACGTAGATATCGAAATGTGCCTTCCAAAAATCGCCACATTGAGCTTCAAGAACTCCGGTCAAATTTGCATGTTGACCAAACGGATTTACGTGCACGAGAGTATTTATGACAAGTTCAGGGATAGGATGGTGGAGTTCACAAGAAGCAACATCAAGACGGGCGCGGGTACTGAAGACGGCGTCGTTGTTGGACCCATACAAAACAAGATGCAGTGAGTTGACCCATCGCATACCACGATACAAATTGACATTGGCAGGTTCGACAAGGTGAAGGAATTGTATTCGGAGATTGAAAAACAGAAGTGGAAGACGGCCTTGGAGGGCTCTGTAGGCGATGCTCGCAATGGCTACTTCATCACGCCTGCTATCATCGACAACCCACCAGAAGACTCCCGGATCGTTGTCGAAGAACCCTTTGGGCCGATCGTCCCACTGCTCAAATGGACCGATGAGGACGATGTCATCGACCGTGCCAATGCGTTGCGGACAGGTCTCGGCGCATCCGTTTGGAGTAAGGACATTAGGCGCGCTGAGAGTATGGCCAGGAGGTTGGAAGCAGGCAGCGTGTGGGTGAATAGCCATTTTGATGTCGACCCCAAGGTGCCATTTGGCGGTCACAAAGAGAGTGGCGTAGGGGTAGAGTGGGGCATGGAAGGATTGAAGAGCTACACAAACAGTCGCAGTTTGTGGGTGTGGAAGAAGGTCTTTGAGTAATTACGATGAACCCAAAGGAGATTGTCTGCCAGTCAAGCACTAGTGAATAGCTCAATGCACAGATACGTTGAACCTGAAGCGTGATGCCCTTACTGCGTGATGTGGGGAGTTTGCAGGCCCGTTGGCAAAGCCGAGGGATGGTTTGGCTGCATGTATGAGGTGAATAGCCTCTTGGTAATGGGAAGTCTCTAATTACGGCTTAATGGCCCACTGACGACGAGAAGAGCAGCGCTCATGATCCTACACCTCCCTTTCGTTATATCTTGAATGTAAGTGTATCTTTCTGTAAGCAGGTGTACAAGGGAGGAAGAACAGTGGGAATGGGTCGCGGGGTGCTATTCACAAACCAGAAATTGCAGATAACACAAGATAGGTATGACGAAGCTGAGTACCGGTACCGTCTCTCGCAGAACCCGGACTTCCGAGGAGCACGGCGCAAACTATAGTATCACCGTGGTACATTGAGGGTGTCTCCTAGAAAACTGGGACCGCAACCACATGCACCGGGGAAGAAGATTGCACTTCCGCCCTTCCTTGTTGAGCTTTGCCCGCAGCTGCCACGAGAAAAAGAGTGCCTTGTCGAGCCGAGTCCATGGTTGACCCGTTGTGGTGCCGAGTTACCTTGTCGTCACCAGCTCATGAAGGATTCCTGCCTGGTTACCTACATATCGGCAAGGCTGCCACGCAACCAGTAAGCGCCAGACATGCGCGGTATGCCGACAGCCTCCCGGAGCATGCTGATCCGGCGATTTGGGCGCATGATTCTCTTACATCGGTCAAAAGGGTGCACAAGCTGCTGCAGTGTACTGTGGGTTCCTGTTTGGACGCAAGTCATGGCGGGGAAGGCCGGTATCCAGTCCCTATACTTGCCTCATTTCATTCACAGTGCACAGTGCACACTGCACCGCCAACAAGCCCACGATACATTGTCAGCGTAGCGTCCAAATGGATCCCATAGTATGTTATGGATATATCTAACGGTCTCGCTTAGGAAAGTCATGGGCTTGGAGCCAACCGACGAGACTGTCGAACCCGACGTCTTCACGCGGGTACCGGGCCGTACGGTCTTGACTGGGGCGGCATTTTCCTTCCGGCTCCTCGAGACGCAGACTCGGTCTTCCATGAGCTGGCCACATGAATGGCATCGTCTATGCAGTGTCAACCTCATGTTGGGACGATGTAAAATTGCACCTGCGATGTCTAGCTATAAAATGTGCGTGATCTGGCTCCTGACAGAAATCTACCGTCTCACCCGTCTCCACCCCCGAGACCACATAGAGTTAACGACTGGTAAACATGGAATCAAAGCTCTCTCCTACCGAGATCGTTGGTATGCATTTTGAGATCACTGTCCTCCTTTCTGCAATGCCAGTTGCGCTTCTCCACATGGGAGCCTGGGTGGCTAATAAAGTAGAAGACACGGAGGGTAAGCTACCAGTTCCGGGTGCAAAGCAAAAGCTGTCCATTAGTCAACGGATATAGAGGACTACGCATCGACACTACCGGACTCAGAAGGGGTCTCCAGTCCTGAGGTTGAACCCGGACTCATCATCATGGCTACAGAAAGGCTCACGGTCCGAGATCTCCGCCTTCGAGGCTTGGTGGCAGGCCGAAGATTGTACTGCACTGGCTCATAACGGAGCGGAAACGGGAGCAGCATTGCCTATGCAAGCAAGTATAGAAGCAGTGATTTCTCTGAGCGGAATCACAGTTATGGAGCCGTTGCTTGCTGGCAGTACACAAGTTGAGAGCAATTGAGCCTAGGTAGCTGTCTACTATTGAATAGAGACTTCCTTGGCGCAATACTGCAGGCACTACTTTGATTCCTTAGTGTATGCGTCCAATGATATAAACAAAGTCTTTGGTATCTTCCCATCAACGCTAGTAATTGCGAAGCATACATATAGTTACACCACATGCTGAACAGCCCTCCACGGCTTGTTCATGCATGTCTTGATCTAGCACCTGCGCCAAAAAAAGAAGCGATGACAAACCCAACTAACACCTCTGCTCAATTGTTGATACACATGTAACCATTTACAGACTCATCACTACTCCCATTTCCCTGCGCATCCAAGGACGAAGCGAGGAAAAATATGCACAATACCGTACATACGGCCCCCCAAGCAGTGGTCAAACCATTTACAGACTGCCTCACCGTCCATATTTAATCTTGACGCAGTCGGCAAACTGCGGATACATCGTTTTGAAACTAGGGCCCAGGGTCCAATTATTCAGATCGCGGAGATGGCTTTCGAAAGCTGGATTGATAAGCCATGAGTCGTCGTCCTCGGGGAGTCGTGGGCCGATTGTGTTTGTGCCTGGTGTGCCGGCTCGTGTTTGAGGTGTACCAGGGGCAGCGGGCGATGCAGCGTTGGCATGGTTGCTGAAGGGTGATGCTGCCAATGGCACGGACGAGGAAGTGGTGGAGAGAGAGTGAGTGTTTATTTTGGAAGCTGGCAAGAGACAATCTCTCGGCTCATAAGGCCAGTTCAGACTCACAGTCGTCGTATAGGGTATAAAGAAGTGTTCGAATTGGACAAAGGGTTGTTGATCTATCATTTTGTCGCGCAAGCGTGGCCAGGGTAGATGATCAAACCATGCCGGGTGGGTGGTGAAGAGCTGAGAGGGTCGAGGGGTGATCCAATGAGGGAGGCGATCGTAATTTTCCTGCGTGGGCTCGATTTGCCAGCGCATGAGGAGGTACATGACGAAGACTATGGCGACTTGTTCGGGGATACCACAGATGTCGGGGAAGGTGCGCAAGATGTCGGTGAAGAGCATGGACAGTGGGTGGGCTTCGACTACGCGGTCAGGGAAGACGAGCGAAGTAAAGTTGGGATAATGTGGGCCGACGAGCGTCTTTATGGGCACGCCCTCGGCGGCACGACTCTGACGGTCTTGGAGGAATTCCAGGAGGATGACTTCGAGGGGGCAGGTAGCGGGCAGATTTCGCGGAAGGGTCAAGTGAGCGACCATGTTGGGTGCGTACTGGGCATGTTGAGGACTGCTTCCGTGGCTGGTGGGCGGGGGTGGTTGCTGCGGGAGAGGGAGGTTGGGATCGACTGCTCGCCGCTGGCCGTTGTCGAGCAGGAATTCGACACCGAGTCGCTCGTCAAAGGGCATATCTGGCTGCATGAGCGGCGTACGGTCGTGGTCGTAGGGGGCGGCTGGGCTGTCAGTGGAGTAGCGGCCCAGGTGGGAGTTGGGGTGGGGATGAGCTGTAGGGGCATCGGCTGGGGGGTACAGCCAGGGACAGCCATTGTCGGTGGCGCTGGGGGATTGGCATTGGGCGTGGTGGGCGCCGTTCGTGGACGAGGCTGCGGCTATGTCGTGGAGGGTGGCGTGGTAGTGGCGGGCATCGACTGTCGTTGCAGCTGTGGCTGCATGGGGAAGGCCGCGAGGAGGTTGGGATTGATTTTGGGTTTGGTGTTGGTTTTGGTGATGATGATGATGATGGGGCACAGCGACGGCGGCCGCTGCAAGTTCTGTGGTTGCTGATGTGTGAGCGATGGATGACTACTAGATTATGAGAGGGGGAACGAGGGAGGAGGAGGAGACTACTGCTGCTATTACTGCCATATGTACAGACAGGAAGATGGCAACAAAGGCGAGGAGGAAGAGGACGACGACAATGATAATGACGACGAGATTGTAGTCATCTTTTGGAATGAAAGAAGAAGACATACGTACCATTGAGCCCACCCGCTGCCGCCACCGCAGCCGACGACGACAACGACAAGGCCAACGAGGTTGACGAGGAGGAGGATGCCGAGGATGACGACTCCCGCACGGCAATCATGGGCTGGATAATGGCCATGACACTCTCCAAGCGCTTCTTCATGTCGGCATTCTCGGCCTGCACGGCCTCCTTCTCGCGCAGGACCAGCTGCAAGTCATGGTAGGGTTGCTGGCTCTCCAGCTCGCGGATGCGCTCATTCAGCCGGTCGATCTGTTTCTTGGTGCGCTCGCGGATGGCGCGCTGGGCCTCGCGATCGTTTGCGCGTTTGCGGGCGAGCTGCTCGGGCGTGAGGTTGGCGACGCCGCGCGAGTTGGCCTGGCTGCGTCGCTTCTTACTGCTGGCCTGTTGTTGGTGTTGGTGTTGGTGTTGGTGTTGGTGTTGATGTTGGCCGTCATCTGCAGGGTCAGCCTCGTCGCGGAGAGGTCCGTCTGCCGGTGTATTGCCCTCAGCCGGCGACGCCATTTGCTGACGAAGAAGGGGACGGGGAAGGATGTGGGGTGTGGGGGGAAGGGGAATGCGAAAGAGTTGCGACTCAGGTCTGCTGGAGAGAAATGGGCGGCCGAGTCATGAAGTTCGGCTTTGTTTTCCAGCCGTGAGGTGCCAGGTAGAGTACCGGTACAGTACTAGAGTAGCATTAGACGAGTTGCCCAAGGTGTTTGCGGGGCTCAGATCAGAGATGACGATCACAATGCTCAGCTAGGTATGTACAATAGCCATATCTTCATCCTCTACTACTGAGCCTGTCTACTCCAGGCTCAGGCATAGTATGGCAGAAGCTCAAGCTACCGGTACATACATCGAGAGTACTATCATAGGTAGGCATGTTTTTGTACGGGAGGTATGTTTGTACTGTGTATGTAATACATTCATTACATACACAGTACCTTACTAGCCTATCTAAGTACATTAGCCTCGGTGCCGCTCTCCACTTCACTGGCTGATCACACCGGCACCGCTTCCACCATCACTGCCACTACCACTACCACTTCCACTTCCACTACCACTACCACTACCTACTACAAGTGTTCCATTCGCGCCACATCCAGCACCATGGCCCATCTTAGCAACCCCTTCTTCTCCATCTCTATCGCTGCTACCATTCTTTCTACTCCTCCTACAATTAAATCTTCTCCGTCATCTTTCCTTGCCCTACCGGTAGTGCTTTGCCATGTCGGATGAGCACTTAAGCCGCATCGGTATTGCCTCGGCTGTCGTCAAAGCCCGTATGTTGTTGTTCTCCCCACCCCCTCGAGTCTCGACATAGGGTTGCACAGAGACTAACCTCCCCCATCCCATACACCAGTGGGCTCTTCTTCCAAACGGCTGATAACCTCGCCCTTCAAAGGTGCCAATGGCGCCAGCACATACTTTAAAGATGTCGCATTCGCAGCCCTTCGTACCTCGCTAGCCAACCTAGATCTAACAGCTGAACGCTTCCTCAACGGGACCACCACGCCCAACTACCTCAAGTATGCCAAAGACCACAACTTTCCTCCCGAGACCATCACCCTGCCTCTAGGCGAGCAGGCCCACTGGTTCGGCAGCAAGACGGCGACCAAAGTCCTCGTCTACTTCCATGGCGGTGGCTATGTCTTGCCCTGTGGTGCCGGACACATGGCCTGGCTCGACGATTTGCGCAAGGCAATGGGACCCGACGTATCAGCCCTCTTGCTTGCCTACGACCTTGCACCAGAACACACGTATCCCACACAACTGCGACAGGCTACCGAGCTCCTGCGCCATTTGATCCAGGTCCAAGGACGGAACCCATCTGATCTGGTACTCGGCGGGGACTCGGCGGGCGCCAATCTGCTGCTTGGTCTACTTTCACACCTTGCACACCCCCACCCACAGGTCGAGTCTCTGCTGCTTCCTGGCAAGTTTCGCGGAGCCCTACTCATCTCGCCCTGGTGCTCCCTGACCAACACGCACACGCCTGCTTTCATTGCCAACGCTGAGCGCGACATGTTCGATGCCCGTGCGCTAGCTCGCTGGGCTGCTGCTTTTCTCGCCTCCGATTCGGCCTTTGCCGGTGATTTCTACAATGAGCCCGTCCTCGCGGCGCCCGAGTGGTGGGAGCCGGTGGCTGATCTTGTCGACGAGGTCTTGATATGGGCTGGTGACAACGAGATCCTGAAGGATGGCATCGAGGCTTTTGCCGCCAAATTCACCGAAGGCTTTCGGGCAAAAGGCGGACGCGTGGACACTGTCGTCACTCCAAGGGCATGCCACGAGGAGATGATTGTAGAGCGCATTCTGGGATACAAGGGCGACTCTGGAACGGGCAGTCAAGCCGTGGTGGAATCATGGGTTAAGTCGAAGCTGTGAGGTTGGCTAACCAGGCCATGTCTGTAGTCAACTGGTGGCAGCAACAGCAGCAGGAGTTGTCGTCGTCATAAACATGACGGCTGCGTTAAAAGAACTGAAACCCATTCCACCATATGTAGCCCAACACAGCGACCACGTTCATGGCCGCACATGGGAGACTCATCTCCACCACACTCCACACCCAAAGTGTACCTACAGGAGGCGCTGCCTTCATAACATAAAAGTAGCCATGCTTGTTGGCAGAGTAGACCAGGTAGCAACCAGATACTACCGAGCCTGCCAAGAAGGATAGATCCCGTAGTATAGGGAATCGATACGAGAAACTGACGTGTGTGAGGTAGACAAGCAGCATAAACACGGGCGTCGCGGCGGCGGCTCGTCGTATAATCTCTGCCCATAGTATATCTTCCCGGTATTGACTGTAGACTATGACATCGAGTGTGAGGTGCAGTGCTGCCATGCTCGTGCAGTAAAGGAGTGCGTCTCCCAGGGGCCCAACTGCCGCATCATCCGTGCTACCGGCAGAAGAAGCCATGGTATTTCCAAGACCCCAGCGTCCTGCCTTTTCCCTGTCCAGCTCCCGCTGTCTTTCCTCTGCTAGCTGGAATAATGTTTTGCCCTTGGGGCCAGAGACGTCGGGGTGCTTGAGAATCATTTCCACGCCGTCTTCATCGATTTGGCTCGTGGAATGCAAGCCATTGTCGACAGATTGGGATGTCGAGGAAGAAGCATTGGCATTGGCGCGTCGTTGTTTGCGATTACCAGCAATCATTGTGATGGTGGTGGTGGTGGTGGTGGTGGTGTTGTTATTATTAACGAGGGAAGGAAGAATGGTGGATGCATCCATCAGGCAGGGTCTAGGACTCTGGGACTAGCTCCTCCCCGCTTACATAACGCTTGACTAACTAGAGGAAAGTACCCCCAACCTCCCAACCATCACCGCACCTACGTATGCATGTACTGTACTCTATACTCTATCTAGGTACTGCTGCGAGGAGAACATTCTCTGCATCAATCCCCTCCCTCGTCCACAAATACAAGACGTGACAAATGATTAGGTAGACGGTCCTCGACAAGCAGCAGCAGCCAGGTGTCTCTGCAAGATAGCCCAACGAGATGAATTGGCTTGTCTGGGCTTCCTTGCCCGTTGCTCTGTTAGGCTTTTGGATGTATACCAGTATCTTGGTCTCATCCTCCTTCCCCACACTTCGCAACAAGCGTATTCTGCTGCTGATTGCGCACCCGGATGATGAAGCCATGTTCTTTGCGCCGACCTTGCTCGCTTTGACGCAGCCAGAGCTTGCCAATCACATCAAGATACTCTGCCTCAGTAGTGGTATGTGGATCAGCACTACAAGGAGAGCACCATGCCGCTAACACCATAATTCACGCGCCAGGCGATGCAGATGGCCTCGGCGAGATTCGCAAAAAGGAGCTGGTTAAAAGCGGCCTTCGACTAGGCATCGCCAGCAAAGACGACATCCTCGTCATCGAAGACCAGTATACCGTCCCCGGGTCTACTTGCCTTCCTTATTCAGCTAACACGAACCAGCAACTTCCCCGACTCTATGACGGTGACCTGGCACCCCAGGCTAATCTCCAACCTCCTCACTACCGCCTTTGCCCCTAACATGTCCTCCATCTCAGCCAAAGATGCCCCACAGACTACAATTGACACAATCATCACCTTCGATACCCACGGCATCTCCTCTCACCCTAACCACAGATCCCTACACGATGGCGCACACACATTTCTCAAAGCTCTCATGCATCGACATAGTGCATGGGAATGTCCTATCAGACTGTATACCCTCACTACAACATCTATATTCAGGAAATATTCAGGTATACTAGATGCGCCGACAACGATTTGGGGGGCTACTCTCGCCAAAAAGGATGTCGGAGAGTTCCCAAGCCCCTTGTTATTTGTGAGCAGTCCAAAGGGTTATCGGACAGCGCAAAGCGCCATGACCACGGCGCACCAGAGTCAGATGAGGTGGTTCCGATGGGGGTGGATAGGGGCGGCGAGGTATATGGTTATCAATGACTTGAAGATCGAGAAGAGGCGATCGTAACGCAGAAAAAGTCGCCATTGGTTTGGGTACTGAATACGGACTATGGAAAGGATACTGCAGTATGGACAATCAACATCGGTGAGCGGTTGAGATGCAGATTGGGCACATTCAACGCACAAAACTGAGCTCTGATGCCCATCACCTACACTTCACGCTTTCCTCTCTCCACCACAGCGCGAAATACTGTTAAGTCGCAGACTACATAGTCATTTTCTCAAGGGGCTACTGATAAAGTTGCCATATTCAAATACGACTCACACCATTCCGCCATTATATAGCGGGTCACTTCCTACGTGTATCGCCAGTAATCTCACGAGATATCTACTTTTTCTCCTTTGGTTCCCCAACACGTCAACCAATGCTCCAGCCACCCTTGCTACGTCTACCAGTCGAACTTAGATGCGAAGTTCTGAACCTGCTCTAACTCCATGTCAGAGTCAACGCAGCCCTCATGAACTGCCACTTCCGATTCAATACGAGGCCGCCATCGCATACTGAACCACTGGAACACGACAATGGCCAACGGGCCAGACACCGACAGCTTCTCACATGCAAGGGTTGTGTTCAGCCTCGTGTTTTTGCAGACTTTGCCGACGGTATGAGAAAGAACAAGCGATGTCGTGGCGGTGCAGAAACCCACACGAGATTCTGTATCAGATGCGGAGTAGATAAAGGATGGTACGCCCCAGGAACGCGACTCACCGCTGGGATTGTTCCCCACGTGGTCTGCCGGATATGTAGGAAGTTCTCTAAGACCGATCACAAGTCGAACTGCCTCATATGTTGTGCGAGACCACGTCGGAGCCATCCGTGGTTCCTCGACCCACCGTGTCACGTTGCGGAAGGAGACTACATATTGGACTACAATATGGAAATGCGACCACCACGGATACTATTTACCAGATTTTTACTGACTTGACATTTGATCATCACAACGCTCGCGATTATCACCGAAGTCGCCAAGTAGCGGCTAATCTCTCTTGCAGAAGCCCATGGCGCCATCATTCATGTGCTACAATCAAGAATCGTGATGATGGTAGTAGCTCTTGCCTTAGTGAAGTCTTGTCGTCGAACACTCTGTCTTGCATCGTTGTTTGCAACATTTCCCCACCTTTGTGCCTGAAGCCTATCATCATTTCACAATCGGCTATTCGAATTAGGTTTCCTCGTCATCACTTTTGTCCCTATTCACACGTACAGTTCACATAGGATATATATCATAAGACTATTCACGGATCTATTAGCTATGACCTCTGTCACAGCCAGATAATAGAGCATTTGCATTGTCGGAAGCCTTCCACTGCACCCCTAATCCTTCATTGCAATTTTGGTATCTTCTCAACACTCATCTCCGCTTTCTCGTTACTCTCTACTGTCAATGACTAGCCAAAGTAAACGCAGACAGTGGAAGTCCACCCAAGATGCGCATAGTGCTTCGTCTCATCCCCCGCAGAACATACGACAACGGATATCATCAGGATTCTCCATCATAAAGCGAGTCATTACCCCAGGCAAACTCCGGACTAGGAATCCTTCAGTAAACCGCTCCCAAACTGCACTTGCTCTCATCGAGCCACTTGGTGCACATCATCACGGTGTCGCTTCTCATATTCCATCTGCTCGAAATTCACGAGCCGCTCCTGAACTGCCTTTCATTCATCTTATTTCCGATCCGGGCCCCGAAGAGCCTTATTCCTATGATTGGAATCACTATTGTCCCTTTCCCAGATTCCAAGAGCCAACGTGTCATTTCCGTGACCTGGGGCATTTGACTGGCACCAGGACTACGATATTGACTTGGACCAGAAGCAGACCGTGCAGTGAGTGTGGATCTCAAAGCGCAAATTCGCAACTGGAACAAGGAAGAAACGGGCAAGCAAACGAGACGAGGAAGAGGTCTGGATTGGGACAGAAAATTATATCAACACGCCCTATTGGCACAGCGGTGACGACAGACAGTAGAGTGGTGGGTAGTTCTGCTAGCCAAGTTGGAGAGATAGCAGAGTCACGTCAGACGCAAACGCAGACACCGAACCAGCTTTCCTCACCCGTGGGCTCTCATCAATCCACTACGCGCGGCACGATTCTGGCACAGCACATCAGCCATTACCGTTCTAAATCTCCAGCACTACACCACCTGCCCCTGTCCCATTCCAGCGACTATCCTTACGTACACAAACACGAAGTCTTCCAACATCTCGAGGCCCTGCGCGCAGGCTCGCATAGTCCGCCAAGACGTAGCCCTGATGCAGGGGGTCGTACGCCCAGACATACGGATAGGCAAATCGAGGACTCGATCGATTTTACGGAGACTGTATCTTATAGCCAGAAGAGAAGCAGGTGGAGAACAGAGGGAATTGAGAGACCGCGATCTAGAGGGAGAGGCAGAATGATGGACACTATCTTAATGATCGCAAACTATAACAGTGATATTGGAACGCGCACTGGGTATCAAAACCACCATGATGGGCGCGTGTTTGCAGTGGAGGAAGATGGACCGGAGATTGGGCAGACTAACCACTCCTTACGATCTGGTAGAACGGGTACAATAGACAGAACTGATCCGCAGGATGGCCAGATTGTTGAGGAAATGCGCGTTGAGCCGAAGGGCGGTTCAGAGAGCGAAGAGTTGAGACTGAGAGGAGGTGATGATGTTGAGCAGGAAGAAAAAATCTGCGGCTTCAGTTCGTGCCAATGGCTTTTACTTGGGCTGTGTGCCCAATCATCGAGAATAGCAGGCTTAGAAGAGCTACCGCCAGCTCGCGTCGTCTCACCTAGTCGCCTGTCTCGCAGACGTCACGAAGGTCCCCGAACCGCGCATATACCAGTGAATATCCTGCAAGGCCGTCGCACACAACCTCCAGGCCACGATATTATCCCTTGGCCTTTTCCCGGACTCAGAGGAGGCGCCGGTTCACGTTCATCCACGTTTTCGAGCACAGACAGGCTACCACCAACGTTGTTCTGGCTCTCGGGCGGCAAAGGCAGACCGATGACTGTGGCGGGATGGAGACGGTTGAGGTCGAAGAAGAGAATGGGTGGCTTGGTAGGTATGGCTGTATTCGGTAGAAGGGCCGGGGTGGAGTACAGTGGGAGGAAGGGTGGCGATGAGAGCGGAGTAAGCGTTGTCGATGAGTCCGTGAAGATGGCGTCATTAGAGGCAGAAGGCCAGGGTGTAGGTGCAAATGGGGGGAATAGGGAAGGGGATGTTTAGTCAACTATAGACAATGTAGTTAATAAATATAGTAGAGCAGAAAGAAAGACTCTGTTCACGGACAAAGTGAAGCAGAATTAAATCTCGTTACAAGTGAAGAGTCATGTATAAAAAAAGAGGCTTATATTTATCCACCTACTGCAAATTTAAATTAGAACCTCACTATCTATACAAGTGCTTAATAAAAAATAAAGGGACTGGCCGTGACACAAGACCTATTGCACCGATAAGTGGTTTAATTCCTCCAAAAATAACGAAGCGCAGTAGAATCTGCAAAAAAGCACCCACCGATCTCGAGGGGAGAGGGGGTGGGCGACCTGTAACCCGGCGATACCATTAATAATTACTCATTAATGGGAGACAGGTTTTGGTTGGGAATCGAACTGACGCCCTAGGAGATGATCGGTCTGGAAGGTCATAGCACTCCTACAGATATCGTAACAGATGCTAGTCCTTAACCTCTCGGCCAAATGCTAGAGCGTGAGTTGATGGATAGATGGGAAATTTCTCGTTATAAATACGTGAGTAGATAGGTGCTGTGGTGTATGGCTGTAGGCCGTAGCTGTGGGCATAAGACATGTTTGCGTGGTCGTGGTTGGAGCGTTTGCAACCCGGCGCGCTGTTGCCTGAGCGTTTGCGGTGGCACGATGAGCAGGCTCTGAACAATCCTCCGATGCTCATGGTGATGAAATACGATGAAATTGCTTGACTTGCCGTTATTAGATCCAGTGCTACTTGCAATATGTCAGTCGAGATCTCAGCAAACCAGAACCTGGAATGTGGAATCAATCGACGAACAAAGGACGTGAGAGGCATGGAAGAGACGCGGACACTGAGAGGCTATATTAGCTGACTAGCAGTAAGAAATAGGAATCAGCCTCATTGATAACATGGGACCCAGAGGTCAGGCAGACGTCACGGCAGGAGATGGACCGGGCTTGATGATAACAGTTTATTCCCGAAATGCGAAGTGAAGCTTAGAAGGAATGCAAAGGAGAGCACGACATTATAAAAATAACCTTACATAAATCCTCCATCTTAGAGCCTGTAAGTATTCAATCAAGGTTGCCATTCATTGACCAGGTTTGGTTGGTGCCGGTGAAGCTTTCTGAGTTCCCTGATCCCTCGACTCGGCAGCTTTTTTGCGCAACTCGGCAATTTTATCGTCAATCAGAGCTATTTCGGCCTCCACATGAAGGACCTTCTCTTGCATCATCTTCTCGTACTCTTCATCATTCAGAACACTCATAGGACTCCACTTGCTCTTTGCGAATCGATACATCAGCGACTCCCCTGGCTCCTCCTCGCCCCTGGCCTTGCGTTCGATTGCAGCCGTGTTCCTGGCGTCAAAGTAATTGTAGCCACGCTGACCCAAGTATCCGAACAGACCCCAAAAAATCGTACCTGGGATCACATTGGCGGGGATTCGGAAGACAAATCCAAGGCTGAAACCAGTCAAGGCACCGGCCATGGTCGAGGCTTGTAACTTTTCGTTCATGGTGGGCTCCAGATCACAGCGAACCTTCAGTGGTGAACCTCGAGTTGCGTACCACCAATTCTGTAGGCCGTCCGAATTCAAGATAGCGGTTCGCAGCCCCCAGAATGTCGTGCCCAGGGTGAAACATTGCACGCCCGAGATTAGAGAGAAGAGTACGGGAGTTTCGGTGCGAAGCGTGCCATAGACAGCGCCAGAAGTGAGGCCGAAAACACCTGACCGGGGGTTAGGCAAGTTCACAACGGTATTGGTGTGTGGTCTACAAGAGCAATTCGAGAGGCACCTTGGTCTCACTCTTTGGGTGACAACAAAGGCAAGGAGATGTGAGAATGAATGATGCAAAGACGAGAGACGGAAATTTACCATAGTGATGACGGGAGTGACCACAAGAAGCAGGGGTGAGTGGGTAAGTAGGTAGGTGGGTAATGGAGATTTCCAGCAAAACGTACCCGTGAAAGGACCAACATAAAGGGCACGACGAGCTACATCAAGGGGATGAGTGAGGTCGTCGGGAGAGTGTTGCTGCGATGTCATGACTCCAGCATTGTGTCGTCGTCGTCGTCGTCGTCGTCGTCGTTGTCCTGGTGTTGTCGCAGGTGCAGGTGAATGGGCGGATGAGTGAATGTGTGTCGTTGGGCTGGGTTCTTTGGTTTTCGAGCGATGACATAAGCGAGGAGGGTCCAACGCACAACTAAGCTTTGAGATTTTGGTACGGGAAAGCGGACTTTGACGCACCAAAAGAAGAGTTTGGCCTATCGCCTTTTGCCTTTTCCTTTTCCTCTCTTTCTCTCTCTCTCTCTCTCTCTCTCTTTCTCACTCTCCTCCCTCCACCCACGGAGCGCAGACGACCGACCCGCCTCCCCCTCCCCCCCCCCCCCAAAACAAAAACAACCTTACTACTTACTTACTACTCCTACTCCTACTACCACTACACCACCCCAACAACATCAACAACAAATAACAACAACCACCACCAACATCAACCGCCAACGCGCAGGATCCCACTCTGCGCGCTGACTGCAAAACCGCAATCATGGGTAGGGCTGCCCTCGACTCTTGTTTCTTCTTGTGTGTGCGCACACTGGCAGGCCTCGCCCCCGCCTGCCTGCCCGCACACCCGCCTCTTTTTGCTTTTTTCTCTTTTTTTTCCCTTCTTCTTCCTGCTGCCCCCACCACGCAGTGCGACGGTCGTGAGGATTACAAAGGATTATAATGGCTGACAGTGAGACTCGCAGCGCCCAAGAAGAAGGAACAGCAGAAGATGTCCCTGGGAGATTTCCTGGGAGACCAATGTACGCCTGCCCCTCCCCCACACGCGTTCCCTCTGCGAGCGGAGACAGACAACTAACCCACTGCAGCGCTGGGATCATGGGCCGATGAAATGGAGGACGCACCAATGCCTGGTATGTCGCCTGCTGTCTGCGACACTCTGCCCCCTTCTTCTTTTACTGACGCCGCCCTGCAGGTGCAGCCGGTACGCATATACCTACCCCGCCAACAACACTGGTGGCCATGCGCATAGAGGCCGCCATAGGCAGTTGTCATGTACTACCATGTACTTGTCTAGCTATTTACTCACTCATCTCCAGGGGCCGGTGCTCGCGCTGGCTACGGCGGCGACAGACCTTCGTATAGCTCAGGTGGCGGCTTCGGCGCTGACCGCGGCGCCAGCTTTGGTACGATCCTCTCTGCTCCACCCTTACCATGGCTCCTGTGCCGGCCCACATCGCCTGCTAACCATGACTCTGGCAGCCGACCGTGGATTTGCTGTCCGCGAGGAGCTCCCGCTTCCCTCGAAGCCTCCGTACACAGCCCATTTGGGCAATCTGTCCTTCGATGCCACCGAGGGCGATGTCAACGACTTCTTCAGTGGCTGCGAAGTCACCAACGTGCGCATCGTTGAGGACAAACTGGACCGCAAGCCCAAGGGCTTCGGCTACGTCGAGTTTGGCAGCGTCGAGGGGCTGAAAAAGGCACTCGATTTGTCAGGCAGCCAATTCCAGGGCCGCAATGTTCGCGTCAGTGTTGCTGAGCCCCGTATGTGCCGCCGCTGCGTTTGACTCGTTCACTAGCTGACACTGCCACAGCCAAAGACCGTGTAGAGGCCAGGGAAATTACCGACTGGACGCGCAAGGGACCCCTCCCCGATTTGCCGGGCCAGCGTCGACCATCTGAACGTGGCGGCTTTGGCTCTGGCCGCGACCGTGGCTTCGAAGGCGGCTCCGATGCTGGGAGTGAGCGCGGTGAGCGCAGGCGCCCTCCTCCCTTTGGCGGCGATGGCAAGGAGCGGGACTTTAGCAACTGGGAGCGAAAGGGACCTCTCTCGCCCAGCGCGCCTGCACCAGCTCTCTCGAGAGATGGAGGTCGGCCAAGAAATTTCGAGGGAGGAGCAGCCCGTCCTGAGCGCAGGCAATCACCTGCTTGGGGTGAGGGTCAAGGAGACGCAGGATCCAGGGGGCCACGTCGCGAGTTCCAGCCCAGCGAGAGGCCACAACACGATAGGCAGCCCACCGCGCCAGAGCTTGACAACCAATGGCGTACCAAGATGCGCCCTGACGCGCCGTCTCCCACCGCAACACCAGACGTCAGCACACCCTCATCTCCCGCACCACAACCCGTCGCACCAGCTGGCCGTCCCAGGTTGAACCTGGCGAAGCGAACAGTCTCCGAGGCACAGCCCGCCCAGGACACGACTCCATCAGACAAACCCAACCCATTCGGCGCTGCTCGTCCCATTGACACCGCTACCCGCGAAAAGGAGATTGAGGAGAAGAGGCAGCTTGCTCTCCGTCAGAAGAAGGAGGCTGACGAAAAGGCTCGTGAGGAAAAAAGGGCCAAGGATGCGGCTGAAAAGGCTGCTTCAAAAGCCACCGCTCCCGCAACAACCAGCGCCGAGAAGAAAGAAGACGGCAGCGAAGAGAAGCCTCGCGCAAATTTCGAGATTCTCCAACGAGCTGACGACGAGGGCAACTCTGCAGGCCAAGATGAGGATGCCCAAGGCAAAATCGTCGACGACAAGGCCGTCAAGCCGCAGGAAGTTGTGCGTGATCCAGCGAAAGCAGACGGTTCGTGGAGGCGAAAGTCAAACACCCCCGTCGCACCTGCTGGTACCACCACTGAATCCCTTGACGACGATGGCTGGAGTACCGTTACCAAGTCCGTGAAGAGCGCGAAGAGCAACAATCGCCGTGGCGGTGGTGGTGGCGCTCCAACTCGTGCTATCGCGTCTTAGGTGGACGTTACCAACGGCTAGGCCTGGCTTTGAGGGCCTCCAGCTCGTTTTGTTTCTGGGTAACGCAGCGTCGCGCGCATTTCACGGCGTGTTGGCGTCCTTGTTCCGGGCTTTCTTGTTTGTGTCTTTCATATACACAAGCAGCTGCTTCCCAGTTTGCATCGAGTATTACCGCACCATGGCTTTACTTTGTGCTTCTTCAGATGTCACGATGATCATGTGAGTTGTTTCACGATTAGATGCATCACGAGCTTTCCTTATACCTGAATACACACTTGTATCCTGACGCTCCTCGTCTTATAAAAGTATTGGTCCCTGCTGCACTTTTAAAAAATGGACCATGCCCTCTTCTCGAATATCTCCACTCGGACAATTTCAGTTCATCTGAAGCCTGGTCGAACCACATCTGCTTGTATAAATCTTTGTGATGGGTGTCACGTCCAAAATTAGACTATGAATTCCCTGGCGTTGTTTGTGTGAAGACTAGATAGTTTTCGTAGGCTACTATGTTCACTTGCTACACTTGGCATGATCTTTTACGATAGAGCTCTTGCTTCTTAATCTTCTCACTCCTAAGAAGTCGAGGATATGCACACACCCCCTGTAGGTAGGCCAGGATGCTTTCAGACACTTTTGGGAAGCGTTGACGTTGACGCTGATCGCTTAGATGACCAGGATTTAGACCGCATTATCCTTGCCCCCATATGCGCCACTTACCGGTATACGTCAGTTGTCTTACGTCAATTGTGTCTAGGTTCTGTCCCACGCTGGTATCCTGTTCTAGAGAAGAACATTTGTGCGGTCTTCACGTTGTGCTCTCGTAGTAGTCAGAGCATGAGATCATCTATATAAATTGTTGTCGTCTACATATATTGAGCTAGATCTCCGTTCCAGCTTGGTGCACAACGAAGGTCCCGCATAATCACAATCAAAGCACATCCAAAGCTAACCCGATGTATTTGGGTCACCCTGCTATTTACCTCCACATGAACTCGCTCTAGGGCTCATGACTACCAATCCAAAACCAGCTCCCAACAGCAAATCCGATCAAGTCAAATACTACGACCTTCTACGGCAGAATGGAACAGGAGAGAGTAGGGCGAGCAGCAGATGCAAATGGAAAAAAATCCTCAGTCATCGAGACAACCACGACTGTGAAGTCCAGTACCCCCATGCCTACGAAACCCACCCCTGAATTGCAATCACCCGCAGTTGCGAAACCTCGACGCAAACCGCGAAAGCTGAACAAAGACAACCCCCCTTCTATTCCCGCATTAGAAGGTGAGAGTATACCAGCCGCTATCATCAAAAAAACTCAAGACCCTACGGCAGAACTCGACGCCCTCAAGTCTCGGGTTCGAGGCCTCGAAGCCAAAGTCGAAGCCCTTTATGAAAGCAAGACTAGGAATGAACCTTCGCGATCTCCCCGCCGTCGTGGCAAGGGTAGGAAAACCTCGTCGTCAACTCAAGTTTCTACACTGAATAGGCTTCCCAACACGAATAGAGCAAAGGATGAAAATCACACTTGTGAAGCCCATGAGGAAGAAGAAGATGAGGAAGAAGAAGACATAGAAGAACTCGTACGTCTAGAAGGAGAATTGGAAGTGGCACGTCAAGATTTGGACTCCTATCCTAATCGCCCAAGCACCTATTACACTGAATTACGGGAATCTGATGAAAACGTAGAGGAGATCCCTAGGAACCGTGGTGGTAGTGCTGCTGCTCCTACTGCTGCTGTAAGAAAGCCAAGCCAGGGAGACAGACAAGTCACACTTTCAGGCAGCTACCGTATCCCCATCCCAACCAACGTCTCGCTTGAAGACGTCAAGAAAATAAAGGGTGGCGTGGCTGCCGTGCAGAACGTTGCGAGGAGATTGTTGGAACAGAGGAGGGCAGCTGTCGCGGCGGCGAGGGCAGAGCAGAACCAAAACCATGGTGTTGCCAGCACTGATATCGCACAACAGTCTGTCTCATCGACATCTGCCCGACCTGTTAAAACCAAGGCTACAGGTGCGCCGTCAGCAACGAGTGTAACGCTGGAGGAGGCAGGAGACAGACAGAGTTGGGGTGATTGGATCGGCGGGTATAGTCTTGCTATTACAAGGGCGGTGAAGAATATTGAGCATGAGGCTGCCATGGAGAGTCACAAAGATTGGAGTGTGGGGACCGCGAGAAGTACACAATTAGGCAGGACAGAAAACAAAACACCGGTCGTTAAGCAGAATGCTGGGAAAAGGTCGCCTGTAAAGGCGAAGCTTAGTAGTGAGCAGGTTCACAATCTCATGAGCTAGAGGGGACAGGATTTCTGCCCTGAAGAAGGGCACCGTTTCTCTATTTCTTGTGTGAAGCTAGCTGTAGAGAATGGCAGGGTATGATAACACAAGTATTTGACGATCTATGACCAGAAATAGGAAGAGTCTACGCATCAAGACCATCCCTTTCAACTAACCTCCTCACAACATCGACCACTTCTCTCTCTTGCACACTCATACCTTTCCCGGGCTCTTTGACCATGCCGTCCAACACTCTATCCAACATGCCCCTTAGCCTGCTGACTAGAACCCCAATCCTCGCCCACCCCCTTAGCCTGATCCACTCGTCAACAATCAATCCGCGCCCCAAAGTATCGACCTGTATCTGACCCCCAAACATGAGCAGACTATACGCATTAAAAGGCGTAATGTCCCGTATGAAGACTTTGGACGTCATCATCTTGTTGAAATAAGCGATGAACGTAGCGGTAGACGAGAAGGTTTGTGAGGAAAAAAGCGTAGACGATGGATGCACAAAGACACGCCCATTTTCCTGGTTGAAGTATTTGATCATCCTGGCTTCAGGATCCAGCTCGACAGCTCCAGCGATACCCGCGGCGAATCTTTTGTCAGGGAGCTGGATGCGTGCAATTTGCGGGTTGAATGATCCAGCAATGAGCGCGCGGAGAAGGGCATCATTGGCGTTGTGCTTGTTGTACATGCCGTGTGAGGATGTGTCGTTCGAGTGGTAATTACTGTGAATGAAAGAGATCTCTTTGAGCGTGGAGAGATACTGCGATCGGTTCGACGCGATGTCGAACATGGTGTTCGGATTGATTCTGTTGTCCTGACACCAGGCGCGAATATCGCGTGCAGACACCCCTTTGCTGCGGAGTGCAGACCACTGTTCATACGCACGTAGGTCGACGAGCAGATCCCCTTGACCATTTGAAAAGGAGGCACGAAGCCGATCAAACTCATCGCGGGTTCCTTGGTCTCTTTCTCGAGGCGATATGAACGGACTGCGCGCGGTCAAGACGGAGGCGATGGTGAGTGAAGCTTCCAGGCAACCAAATGTCGCGCCATACACTAGGAGTTTACTGAGTCGTAAGTCTGCGGGAATCATCGACATGTGTCGACCAAGCGCCGTCAGCTCACTATCAGTAATCGCGCCCATTTGAGAGAGTTGCTTGATCGCACCCTCGACTGCCGTGCTTTCAGGTGGCGTGAGCGCTGATGCTAGAAAAGCGGAGACGTCTTGGATGCCCATGGCTTTGATATTCAGACACATTTGTTCGAGTGGCACTCGTCTAATCTCCGGCTCAGGTCGCTCCATCATTTTTTCTTCGGCAGTCCGAGTGTAGAGCTTATAGCAATCACCAGGCCGTACACGGCCTGCACGGCCTCTGCGTTGTTTACAAGCTGCTCTAGACGCCCACGTCTCAGCTAGCCGGACGACGTTGAGTTGAGCGTCGTAGCTCGTTTCCTTGACGCGACCGGTGTCGATGACTGCAACGACATCCTCAATTGTGATTGAAGTCTCCGCGACATTGGTTGCTGCAATGACCTTTCGCTTTCCGTGAGGCGGTGGAGGGAACACACGCTTCTGGTCTATGGGTAGAAGCGACGCATGCAGCGGCAAAGCATATATGTTAGGGAACTGATCTAGTGCTCTGATTGTGCGATCAATTTCCATTGTACCAGGAAGGAAGATGAGAATAGCACCATCTTTGGACCCGAGCTGCCGATCGATGTGACGGACAGTCTCTGCAATCAGATCATAGTTTATGCCAAACCCAATACTTCGGAGACTAGAGGACATGGTCTTTTCCGTTGTATCGTGATCATCATCCCCAATGCCGTTGCCTCTGAAGCCAGTAAAGTGCACAACGTCATCGATGTAATAGTCCGTTACAGGGTGGGTTCGACCTTCAATCTCAACACGACCAACCGGTCCCACGTCTCTGAAGTATGTTTCAAACACCTCGGCATCAAGAGTGGCACTCATGAGAATGACCTTCAAATCCTTGCGCCGCCGGAGAACCTGGCGCAATAACACAAGAGCGAAGTCGGTATCCAGACCACGTTCATGGACTTCGTCAACTACGACGTGACTGACATCGGCAAGTGAGGCGACCACGTCATCCTCATTTCCACCAGAGGTTTGGAGTCGACGCAATAGGACACCAGTTGTCACGAAGGTGATTTTTGTGGTGCCAGGCTTCTGTTTTGATTCTCCACGAATGATGTACCCGATCTCGTCTCCCACTTGCGAGCAACGCTCATCCGCAACTCGATCGGCAAGACCCAAGGCAGATATGCGCCGGGGTTGAGTACAGATAATATTTGCAACCGCACCAAGTTGCCGCTCTGTCAAGTCGTCTAGGATAAACTGGACGGACTGTGTTGACTTGCCCGAGCCTGTCTCACCGGATATAATTGTAACCTGGCAGTCATTCACAGTTCGAACTATATTCTCTCTTAGTCTCCAGGCCGGAAGATTCTTTCTTACGTTTAACATCTTTTGAAGTGCAGGGAGACTCTGCTTTGCCTGCCAATCCGAGAATACTTTTTGATTCGAGGGCGTGGCAGCCGTCCAATCAATAGGTTTTCGTGCTCTGGGTTTCCCTTTTGGCCTGTGACTTTGCTGTTCTGCCGAGTGATCCGCGGCGGAAAGGCCAGCCGAGACATCAGACAACCTACCCGGGTTTTTGAAGATTTCACCTGCGTTCTGTTGTAACCAATCCACAATGTCATATACCATTGGCATTCCGATGTAATTAGCCTGGGCATGCAGAAGTGCTTGTCGAATTATACTTAACCTGATGTAAGCGGGGATCGTAGCTTCGAAAGTGATGAGAGGTACAACAGCCGGGTAGGCTCCGAAGGGTTTCGAGACCTGCAATATGAGGCGCTTCCCTTGCTGCTTGACGTCGAGCTCGATGCGGCAGGTTGTGGCCGATAATCGAGAAAATAAAGTGTCATAGATCGCTTCAAGTGAAGACATCTCGACATCCCACTGATCATCCTCTGCGTCCTCTTCAGCACCTTCTGCGAGGCCAGAATTAGCCAGCTCTTGCGCAATGATCTCATCGTCATCATCGGGCCGCAGAAGGCGAGCTTGGAGGAAGGCGGCGGCTTTTCGTTCGTCGCCGTTGTGCCTGTCGTAAGCCTCCTCACACAGGTCAACGGAGTATCCTGCTGCAGCAAGACGGTTCACAGCACCCTCACGTTTGAGATTAGAACTAGCCATACTGATACCAGCAACATAGCCATCGGGTAAACTCCAGGGTGGCAAGTCGTCCTCTGGAACGTGGATGAGTAGCCAGTCGATGATCTCCTGACGATCCTTGCAAATGTTGGCGGCTTCTTCGACATGGCTTTGACGAAACCCGAGATCAGTGATTTCTTTCACGAGGCACCTCTTGGTATTTGGATCGATTTGAATCGCGTTAGGATTCCATATGGCGTCGCGCCGAATGAGCCGTTCAGCCTCTTTGCGTGTCTTTTTGCTAAGCTCAATCTTGGGCACCCGCTCCCATCCCTTCGTCACGTTCCTGCCGGACGAGGAGGCCTTGGCATTCGGCATAGCTGCGCCGGGTTGCAGATTATGTGCCTTCTGCGATTCCTCGTGTTGCTTTGCTCTCTTGTCGCGTGCCTTGACTGCTGCTTCCCTGGCCTTCTCGCGCTCAGCGAAGCCGAAGAAGGGGTCTGCTTCGTACATCCACCCTTTGCCGTCCTGCTCGTCTTGCTTTTTGAGGTCTGCGAATTCTCTCTTCCACAAGTCTCGGTAGGTAGGCGGAAGGGTCATGTGTAGATTCTTTGCGCTGGCAACGCGGAAAAGGGTGTATGCGGCGGCGAAGTTTCGGGCTTCCACCGCAGTGGGTTGATGAGCCTGTTCCTCGAGCTCGGGCGGAATCTTTATAGCAGGTAGCGTCGTCGTCTCTCGAGTCTTTTGGTTCAGCTTGGAGATGACGACGGCATAGGCAAAATGTCGGTCTCCATCCTTGCGCTATGGCTTGTCAGAGGCGACCCCGGGGAAAATGCTCGCGCACCAGTGCAAGTAACTCACAATACGGTAGTCTGGCTTATTCCAGTGTTGTTTTTGAAAGTGTTCCTGCAGTAAGTTGACTGGCAGCTTCCCCGTCCATGAAGCGCCACCAATCAGGGTCCTGGTGTCTGGCTTCTTTGGTGCGTCTTCGCCTTCTCCAGCGGCAGCTTTGCCCTTTGCTTTGCCCTCGCCGTGGGCGGCCTCGCTCGTGGTTGAGGTTTCCGCTCTTTTCTTTTTTGGCTTTCCGTCGCCAAAGACGATGAAGCTAGTATCCTCTTCCGGTGCGACCGTCTTCTTTGTGGGCTTGCCTCGGGGTCCGTGGGCATTTTTTGGCATCGTGGGTTATATACAAGATTGTGGAGAGGTCAAGCGCCCGAGCCTCTATGAATCACCACCATATGGTAGGTACAGTACCGGTACGGTAAGGAACGTTGACTCAAGTACGCTTGTACCTATGTCAAGAAGGGGATGGATGGCCGGTGCTTGCTTGTGAGAACGACACGTGCATGCAACAGTAGTGCTTTGGCCACAAGGTTGGACTGCGTCGCCGGCAGTTGGATCTGTTGTGTGCCGCAATATTGAAAGTGAGGCGTGAGGCATCCATTGCGAAAAGTCAATCCGATGAAAGTGTTGTCTCTTGGAATCCCGAAATTCCGACAAAGTATGGCTTGGCGTTGCGGGATTCCTCGGGCTCTGGTTGGCCCAATGCGCTCAGTCGGGTTATGTAGTATGTGCGTAGTGGAACTCTATCCTGGCTTGTCTCCCGCCCGCTACTATACATGCATGTCATTGCTTCTCATAAAACTTCACTTGCAAAACGCATATGCTCAGAGTCGCTTCTAGACTCATCAGATGGTCTGGAAACAGCAAGGCCTTGTACGGAACCAAGGCAAAGTTCAATTCCAGAATGTCTTCACAAGCCCATCAGACAGTCCCAGAGCACGATCATCAAGATGCAATGACTGTTGAGGAACTTGCGAGCAACAAAAGTAGTGCCTCGTCTTCAAGACAGCCCAATGCATGTATGTCACATACTCTGTCCAGCACATTTCGAAGAACAGTAGGAGCTCAATCTGACATCACAGTCACAGAATTGATGGCAGGATCAAAGAAAACAAAACCCTCAGCCACCTCTACTACACCCACTAAACCTTGGGAGAGGGCGAAAAAGACTGTAGGCAGACTGGACCCACGCAACGGACTAGGAGTCTACATTGATCATCCAGAATCGAATCCAGAGGGTAGAGTCATTGAATACGACGACGAGTTCGTGGTGATCAATGACAAGTTTCCGAAAGCAAGGTAATGAATGAATCCACAGGGCCCACGTCCATGTCCCTCAAGCTGCAGGACCGACTGACTGATGATTCCATTTGTAGTGTGCACCTTCTCCTCATCCCTCGAAAACCAAAATACTACAATGCGCATCCGCTGCATATTCTATCTACGGACGCAAACTTCCGCCGTCAGGTAGAGGAACGCGTTGCGCGGCTAGAACAGCTCGCTGCATCAGAGCTCCGCCGACAATATGGACACTGTAGCAAGTCAGACAGCGTGTATCAAGTGGCCTTGGAAAAACTGATGAGCTCCCCAAACCCTCCGCCATCGACAGAAGAACGGGATGCGCTGCTTCCGCCTGGTCGCAACTGGCAATCCGACATCGTCAGTGGAGTACATACGCACCCTTCGATGAACCATCTACACATTCACATCATCAGCAGAGACATGCATTCACCTTGGCTCAAACATAAGAAGCATTACCTGAGCTTCAACTCCTCTTTCTTGGTCCAGATCAAGGAGTTTCCCTTGCCAGAAGGAAGTGAGCGCTTCCATCCGGGCAATTGGCCGAGTTGGAACATGAAATGTTGGCGATGTGGGGAAGACTTCAGAAACAAGTTTACAGCACTCAAAGTACATCTCGATGACGAATTCGAGGATTGGAGGAAAGCGTGAGACTTGACCAACCCATGTTAGGTTCAGCAAGCATTTGACGGACCACATGGTTATATCTTCTTGAATTATTTTGCTAGCCCTATCCGTGGCTGCACAACTTTTGCTCACTACCATGAAAATCTATATAGTAAATCCAACGGTAGTAACGTATTGAAATGGATCTTTGCCGTGGAAGGTCCCAAATGGATCTTTGCCGTGGAATCACTCTCTCAATGCTGCCGTGGCATCTAGTCACCACCACACCTCATAGCCTGAAAGATGATCCTCAACCCAGTGACGATGGCTCCCATGTCGACAACCCCGCAATTACGTCATGGTGTACAAATTAATAATACAGGATCCGAATTCTCGCCTCTGACACACACATGATGTGAGTACCTAGGCCTTTGGCTTCGTCTTGGGGGTTCCACTACGAACGCGCTTGGCCTCAGGGCGCTGTAGATGCGAGGCGGGGATCCAGCTCTCGTCGTAGGCCTTGGCACCAGAGGTAACAGCGGGGCCATCAGCACCCACGACCGCAATCTGGTCAGCAGGGTCGACCTTGATGGTACCGGCTGAGGACCTCTTTGCGCGCTCGCCACCCTTGCCACGACCCTTCTTCTGAGGGAAGAAAGTGGAGATCCAGGTGTTGTAAACGAAGTAGGCGGTACCAGCGAAGGCGCCGAGAAGCACGAGGTACAGGAAGAGACTGGGGCTATTAGTACGTGCAACTCGGTGGATACGAACCGCGCAAGCGGAGACGGAAGGAGGGCTAGGCGTCGAAGGGAAAAAGGTACGTGGCCGAAGACTTACATCTGTGGGTCAAAGAGGCTCGTGGGTGCTTCCACCACAGTGACAGTCTCGTTGTAGGCGGGAACGGTGTACAGGGCGTTCTTGCTGTCGCTTAGCACCGCAATGAGCTGCAGACGCAGATCCTGGGGGTGCAGCTCGGTGCTGAACGTATAGGGGACTGTCTCTTCGGCGCCAGCGGGGATCGAGATGGAGTACTTTTGCGTCGTGAGGTTGCGCACGATCTGCGATTGTCCACCGACCTCCTGGATCAGTGAGCCGCCCACGATGGTCACGCCAATGGGCATGGGCTCCTTGTTGCTAATCGACAGCCGCGCCTCAGTGGCATGGCCATTGATGAGCTTGACGCCAAAAATCTCCGACTGGGGGAACGAAACCGAGATGGCCACATTGAGATTGGGCGTTTGCGGCTCCTCGTTAAGCTCAGCGACGGGCTCGACCTGAAGCGCTTTGTTGTTAGCGAAGTGTTGGCGATTGCCCCCCCCCTCTTCCCCTCTCTTCCCCGCGTCCGCCCTTCCCGAAGGTGAACTCGCGGGGAAGGTGTGCCGTTTGCATGTACGATGGGATATCAGTAGAGCCGTACCTTTTCGGCCCCAAGGACGGTGAGGGCGCGCAGAGAGAGCAGCAACAGGGCGGAGATGGACAGGGCGACCATGATGAAAGGCGGCGACGTGCGAAGGGGGGGGATGGAAACAGGAAGGACCAGGTAGAAAGATGGGAAAGTGCGAACGTGGGAACGTGGCAACGGCGGGAAATAGCAGTTAATGTTGCAACGAACAACGAACGTGACTTCCTCTGACGTCTGGGCGCAGCTTCCTGCAGTGCAGTCGAGTGGACCAAGCTCCAGTGCATCCCTTGTTATCCTAGTTTCCTTGGCGGGAAGCGGCAACCGGCTTCTGCCCAGGTGTGATCTGTCTGCAGGGACGTATTGTACTACTACTCATGCGCTCGGGTAGTTTGAGTATCATGTGATTTGCCACTGCTCCATCCCGGCTATTTTCATGGCACAAGACAAGTAACGTGATCCTCAAACTAGCCGAGATAACTAGTACACAGTATGTACTGTGTTATGTCATCACCCACCAATCAGCAAACCCTTATCCTCTCTCTCCTCCTTCTTCACCCACTCACCCATCCATCCATCCATCCATCCATCCATCCACCCACTGCGCGTGCAAAGACAAGAGACAATAGGCAGCCTATGGAGGTGGGTATACAGTCATATCCCGCGACATGAGCACTCACCACTCACCGCGGCAGTTGCACTCTTTGATTCTATCGCCGCTGTTTGCTCCCATTTCCCATTGCAGAAAACCATCTTCACCACCCTGCTGTTGAGCGCTCGCCCAACGGCAGCCTGCAGAGCATTTCATTTGGCTCTCTCTTTCTGCCTTTCTCTCTCCCTCGCTCATGATGAAACCACATTCAATAGACAAGCCACCAATCTGCTTCTCACTGCTACTCCCAGCAGTGTGGTACTAACAACAATATGAAAAAAAAAGTCAACTATGAGCTCACCTTCACCTACTGTTGCCTAGCTCGTGGAAGTAGTCTCGATAGCTCTTGCCTATTTTTTCCTCCTCGTCCACGTCTTCGTCAACAGCCTCCTACCTTCCTTCCATTTCTCTTCAGCCACACATCTCTGCCACCCATCCTCATTACACCAAGCTGCCCTGACACTGTCTACGCCGTGAACGTGTCAGTGCTGGGAGCGTTTCCATCTCAGTAGCTTTTTTTTCGTATCTTCACATCTGAGCGCTTCACCGTCGTTTACACAGACATGCCATCGCCGCCATACCTGAATGGTCTTGGCCAGAGTCAACCGACTTCACCTGCAACCCCAGTATCTGTCGCTGGAGATTCTGAGCTCGCATGTCTTAGCAAGCGCTGCGAGCAGTTCATGGTCTTCGACCAGGAAAAGGCGAAATTTATAAATGTATACACGTCGAGCGCCTAAACCATCACTTTTGGCTAATGCCCTTGCAGGAGCTGATGACGCGCTACGAGTACCTTCACCAGCAGCATCAGGTCATGATCTCAGAGCGCAACCGAGAGCGCGACTGGGCCGTCCAATGGCAAAAGGAGAAACTGCGATACGAGAAGTGGATCAAGAGCATGCAACGAGCCATGGTAGGTCCCTTTCTTCTCTCTGTCTGACGTCCACTGACCCAACAGGCTGATAACCCGTTTGTCATGATCCTCATTGACGGAGACGGCATGATCTTCCGCGACGAACTCCTTCACCAAGGCGAACTGGGTGGTCGTCGGGCTGCATTTGAGTTGTATGCTGCTGTCCAAGCTTATATCGAGAGCGAGACCAGCGACATACCAGTGTCCGCACGCATCGTTTGCCGCATCTACGCTAATGTCCGGGGACTGAGTGATGTACTTGTGCGGACAGGTGCTGTCCAAGAAATGGGCCAATTCGATGAGTTTGTACGTGGCTTCACCCGAAGCAAGACACTCTTCGACTTTGTGGACGTTGGACCTGGTAAAGATCGTGCAGACGAAAAGATCGTAGGTGAGGACTGCTTTCTTCGCCTTTCAACACCACTCCAACACCACGAGGTCGTTTCATGTAGCTAATAATGTCATATATGAAGAATCCTTTAAGCTCTTCTCCCAGGATTACCACTGCCGCCGCATACTTTTTGGATGCTCACACGATAACGGCTACGCGCGAGCCTTGGAAGAGTCGTCTGACAAGGCTGAGCTGTTGAGCAAGGTAGTCCTCCTCGAAGGTGTGCCCTTCGAGAAGGAGTTACTCTCACTCCCTTACAGCACCAAGAAGTTTCCTAATCTGTTCCGCGACGCCAAGATTGTCCTTCAAGATCCCACTGTACCAAGCAAAGCCATCGACTACTCATCTCCAAGTACCCCGATTCTCAACATGCTATCGGGCGTTTCCACTCGATTGCCACCGCCAGGTCGACCCACTCAGCTACTGGACAGTCCCATGCTCGGTCAGGCCGTGCTATCCGCTCTCCCAAGAACGCCTTGGACCTCTACAGTAAATTCGGATCCGTTCCCGGCGCTCAAGCCTCAAAACACTGTGCCGAACAGTTGGGCGGCCAAAGCTGCTGCCCCAGCACCCCCGGTTCCCGCCTCTCCTGTATATCTGCCTACGAACCGCGAGGAAGTCATTGCGCGCAATCGTTCCGGTCAGCGTATTGATCCTCCATGCAAACATTATGATAAGACCGAAGTGGATCGTGTCAAGAAGTTGAAGTTGTGTAATGTCCACTTTCTGCGAAAAGAATGCCCCTATAATGGGGACTGTACACATTTTCACGCCTTCACGCCCTCGAATGACGAGATTCGTACACTCCGCCTGGTTGCACGTATGGCTCCATGCCAAAACGGTAGCGGTTGCCAAGATGTCAAATGTATTTATGGTCATCGCTGCCCTGCGCCTCTTCAACGCAACAGGCGTAACACAGATGTCAAGCCTTGCATCTTTGCAGAGACATGTAAATTCCCAATCGAGCTTCACGAAATCGACACAAATGTAGTAAAGACCCTTGTGGTTCGTTAGGGGGTCAATTTGCGACAGACATGGCAAAAGGAAAACATGTCATCGACACAAGAGACAGAGGTACTTGACCGTATGGATCATAGTGGATATACCCTTGGTGATTTTGCGACGTCTACAATGTGTAGTCAACCCAGGACATATTTCACTTGATCACATCATCATTTCGCCACTCGTGTTCGTATTCAAAGCACATGTCTCTAGAAGTGCCCAGATGTATTTCACTAAAGCGGACCGATCTCATATGTTTTCTTTTCGCGAGACCTCATGTCAGCAGCTATTTTGGATCAAGTAGTGTGACTGGAGCGCGATGTGGAGGAAGCAAATCGTCCTGCAGTTGTGAGCAGATGCGCTGGCTCATTGCCAACTAAGCTACAGCAAGATTGAATATATCATGAAGTATATGTCTTGACTGTTTGCTGTTTTCTGGAACCGAAAGAGGAAAGTCTCGACAAGCGTCCCCGTTGGTCTACCGACGGTACCGTAACGGTACTTCGTCGGTCTGTTCCAGGCGCGCTTACCTCAGGAATCAGGATGCGTATACATGTACACCTTATTGTCCCAATTACAATTTGCGCACTTGAATACCATTTGCACGAGTCGAGTGAAAGTGGGAGGAGACACGTAGTGAACTAGTAAGATATCCAAATCGGGTGCGAGAGATGTTGATTGGTGGGTAATTTTACTGGATTGGTGCTCAAGGTTTGAGGTTAGTGATGTCCCAAGTTTATCAGGGCATTGGCATGTCTGCCAGCGATCTACTGTGTATGTTTCATATGGTCAATGTAGAAATGATTTATTGGGTATACATACAGAAGACAAAAGGTTCATATCAGAGCATCAAGCTTTTCTTTTATGATGGAAAAGGATGCAAGGGCAGCTTGGTGCGCCGCTCAACCGAGCCACCGCTGTTTCTGGCACGGTACGGTAGCAGTCAAGGTCCTTGAGTTTTTTTTTACCATACCTAAGTAAGCACAAGCACACACATCTACCGTTCCGTTTCAGCCGACATATTAACAGCCATCCTCATGATTGAAACTATATTATCCGTGACTTGACCCGTGACTCGTACAAAACTGTCGACAATGCCAAGCTCGTACCAGCCTCCAAGGTTACCTACTTCAACAGGGATCCGTTCCTTCAAATTGGCAGGGCGAAACGTGGCTCCACGCGACTGACTCAAGCAAGTCAAGATACTATAGTAGATGATGTTCCACCTCAAATCAGTTACGATTCTTCCTCGTCACTCGGGCATAGAGATCTGGTAGTCGAAATAGTTGGCGTCATGTTTGTGATTGCGCATTCTCGGTGGTGGCAACCTTGTGCTGCAATCGCGATCCTCGTCTCGCAAACTGCAGCCGAACTCTTCTACACAGCAACTAGTCCTGCGATTCAAGACGGCCTCTTGAACAGGCCTCCGTCCATCTGCTCCATCGCACAAGACGGCTATACCACCAACACTTTTCCATGGACCCATCACCCGACTTGTGTCGATCTTACACTTCACGATCTTCACGACCCGGACGTTGAGTTTCGTCGAACCTTTTGCGCATACACTAACCGTGACTACAATGACAATCGCGGTATAAGTCTTGTAGTTCCTCCAGAAGTTGCAGCGACGTTCACAAATGAGGCCTACAGTCTAGCACTCGGTGGCTTGGATGGTCAGATTGGCGAAGAGCTGGGCATGTGGGAAGTGAGGGAAACGGAAGACAGGGGAAAGGGCTTGTTCGCGAAGAAAGATGTAGCTGCTGTTTTCGCCGGAGAGAGCTTGATTGTACAGACGCCCGTCTTGTTGGTCTCCAAGGAATTACTTACGACGGACATGGCGTCCGAGCTGGAGAGGGTGTTGAAGGCCGCTGTAGAGCAATTGCCGAGTGCTACCCAGGAACAAATCAGAGCACTGGATTCTTCGAATGCCGCCGTCCCGATTAATGTGGTACGCGAAACTGGTATACGGATCAATTGGCCGTGGGCGGACGAGGTTCCCAAACTTCTCGCTGTCATTCCAGAGGCTGCTGTAAGTTTCCCGACTTGGGACATTTTGACGCGACTAGAGGAATTATATCTGACTAAACGCAGCGTATCAATCATGCATGCCGCCCGAATGCCGGCTGGCGATTCAATGACTACACAATGTCTGTCGAAATCTTTGCACTGAAGGACATCAAACCGGGCGAGGAGATCACTGTGAGCTGTAAGCGGAGATTGCGTGCAAAACTTAAGAGTGCACCCCACTAACCTCGTAACAAGATGGCTTCGAAACTCGATCCTCCGCAAGGCGTATGAAATCCATCGAAGCGAATCTGGGCTTCACGTGCCGCTGCTCACTGTGCAGCGCTGATCAAGATGTCATTGAAGCCTCCAACGATCGTCTCAGTGAAATCAAAGCGCTGAAGTCTGTCCTACCTACTGATGAAAAAGAATCCCACGAAATCGCGAGGCTTTTGCCATTTCTTATTTCTCAACTCGAGAAAGAGGATCTACAAATGGATTTGCCAAAATATGAAGAAATCTTGGCGTACACGTGGTCTAGCTTCGGTATGGAAGACCGAGCCAAGTACTGGGCTGGCAGGGCAAGAAAGCATTGGGCAGTCATTGCGGGGAAAGATAGTTGGCAGCAGAAGAGATGTGCTGATCTCGAGGACGATGTCAGGGCACATCCTACTTGGATGACGTGGCAAGGGGATCCATGGGTAGATGTAGGCGAGGGACAATCATAGGGTGAATAGGAGGGGAGCTTCCCACAATCATAGTCACGACCAACACTACTATAGTGCACCTGGGAAGGAAAAGGTGAGGCTGATTGATGAGCGGTTTGAATCCAAGCATCATGCCTTGTGTCTTTTGGGCGTAAAAGAGACGACAGGCCTGAGTTTATGCCTAGCCAAAACAAACGAATTACATATTGGCACTGCCAGGTTTTAAAATACTGAGCCAATCTGGCTCTTCCTGCTCAAAGGACTTGAACGTGGGCGGGGGTAATCTATCGAAAAGCCCTCCTTTGAGGTACACTGTTGGATTGTCTCCACCTGGTACCGACATGACAGGTCTAATTCTGTGTCAGTGTGAAGGGCAACATGATTTTGGGTTTGGAAGGGGGCTCACGATCCGCAATTACTACAGAACCGACGGGTGATGGTATTCCCGCTCACCGTATCCGCATCTGTGTAATCCTTGAGGCTATTCTTCTTATCTTCAATCTTTACATCTTTACCATCGATGATGAAAATGATTGATCCAGCGCAAGACCCAGCCCGACGACAGTTGGCGCTGGACCACAACGTCAGCTTCCGCAGAACTTGGGCTCGCTGTCATCTAGTAGGAGCCTCACCAGTAGCATATAGCCGACTGTTCAGGAATTGCGGGAATGGAAATGTTGATGCTCCCACAGTTGCAGCGCCCTGTGGCCATTGTTAAAGAGGGGGTTTTCAATAGACTTGAAATGATCAGAATCAGAACGAGGGCAAAAAGCAATTTGTCAACTTTGAGGTATGTGCGTGATTAGGAGTTTCAAAGTGTGAATCAACGTAAAAAAACGGACTTGGATATTGCGTCACTGATAATGTGGAGAAATTGAGGAGCCAGTTCCGTGTGCCTCGGTACCGGTAGTGTACAGTACATGGCCTAAGGGTGTGCACTCTACTAAGTTAGGCTATGGGATGTTAGACTACGATACATTCCGAAATCTTGTTAGTGAGGGCATAGAAGAAAGCGAGTTGAGATGAAGACTACTGCTTGGGTTTCGAAGTAGAGCAGACACGAAATTGAGCGAAGACAAAGATGAGGCTTGGGTGAGAATGACCAGGTACCGGGACTACCGTACCATAACTACCGTACCGGTAACTGCTGAGCGGCTAATCCCGCATGTTGCTATGTTTATTGCCTCCACCATCATAACAACACCACAGTCACAGTCTTGTCGCATTGCCGCATTCTGACGAACATAGACCGAAAAAAGAGAGGAGTCACCCAAGATGGTATGTGCGCGCTACAAAGCACGCATGCGTTCCTACTGACTGTGCAGACGCGCGACTCAACCGCGACCTACTTGCACATGCACCACTCGCACCACGCCGACCTGCTCGAGCAATTCACCAATCTCACCTCTTCGCAGCTGGCGCCCGAGGACATCTACATTCCCGCGTACCTGCAGCCTGTCAATCCCGAAGACGAAGATGATGTCGTGCCCGATCAACACGCCGCCTTTGGGATACAGAGGGCGACGCAGACCAGAAAGGAGCCGACATGGCGCGATCTGGGTCTTGAAGAGCTTCTCCGACGTGGCCCTGGTGATGGTCTACATCTGGCCCAGAGCGACAGTGGTGCGGCTGGTGGAGGCACTGGTGTGCGTGTAGGCGGACTGGTCAGCGCCAGGCCCAGTGAACCGGTGAGACTGGCGCTGAGCAGGCAGCCAGGAGCCCGGGGAACAGAGCAGAGGCATACGCAAAGACCGAACCCAGTACAGACTCCTGGAACTTCTGGGCCTGGTCGTGGCCTTCCTCGATAGAAGGGCACTGTCTGGCCAGGCCCCAGCGGCCATGGTCTTTTCTGTTCTGTGGGATTTTAGAGCTTTCTCATTTCAAAACATTAGCATTTCATTACCAACTTTTTGAGGCAGCTCGATCCTGTAATATGGAACAAGTGCCTGGTATGGGCAAGGCGCTGAATTATGGCAGAATGTCTCAGGGCTACCTCGACAACTAGAACTGAAGAATCCATGGATTCTAAACAAACTAGACATATCTTATTCAAAACAACAATAAAAATACTATGAGTTGATATAATGTATGTATTAGACTGGCATTTATCTAAAAAGGGCATCGGTACATCTCGTAGTACAATGTGTGTAAAGAGGCTGGCTTCTTGGTGATTGCGCGTGATGACCAGCGTGGCGGTGTAGATAGACTCGCCAGACCTACATCAATACATGCGCTCTGTCTCGTACCGATACCCTCAATCTGTTGTACATATACTGCCACATTTTACCTTATATCCACTAGAACAATGACATTTATTAACAGCGATATAATTGTGGCACTTAATCTTATCGCGTGGTCCCTCGCACCTGTTTTGAGCTCCCTTCTTCGCGCATATGGCAGCTGACGACATACACAAGGTTGCCTCACTCGAGTCTGCTAGGAAAAGTAGAAACACTGGAACAAGCTTGATTTGCATGCTGGATTGCTAGAATGTTGTCTTAGATATAATACCGTTAGGCTTGATTACGACTTACATCAAAAGAAGATCAATCCTTATACAAGGGAGTGTTTAGGTGGAGTCGTGTCTTCTGGAATCGAGTGAACACTGAGAGCAGCTAATAGCTTCGTTAGATACCAATGGTAGTAATATCTTGGATAAGGCACAGGAGAGAATTGCTTACTAGAGTATAAGTTGATCTGTCTAGACTTCAGAGAACTTATAAATGTGAGTCTAAGCCCTGATAGAATACTGTAGGAAGACACATAAGATACGCTACTTACACCTAGTACTACTTTAAAATTAACCCCCCCCCCCCCTCTGTACGTTACGTAAAACATTTCTAAAGTATCAAGCATGCTGCATATGTTTTCTGTGCATGCAACCATTTGTCACTTATGTTCCTACCCCTACCAGTACTCAGCGGCTAGAGTGAGGCCAAACAAAGTAATATTTTACCGGTAGTTAGCAACTTAGCATTGAGTTTGTTATACTCCTAGTAGGCTTCATTTCTACTTGCAAGTTGTACCTATTTAGCCTAGGCTACCCGCGCCAGCCCTCAGTAATTGGACTGGGCTCACTACATCGAGAACCAGTGCTCCTTTTCGAAGCACGTTCACTTTGAAGATAGGTTGGCAAGTACGCCCTTTCCCGACGGTTACACCGCGTATTAAGGGCGATTGTGTGAAGTTTTAGGTCAGCAGAGCGGGTCGGGTCTAAACACCTGTTTATCAGGCCATCGCTGCCGTACGGTACCTGGTGGCATGCATAACCTTTAAGGAGGTAGCAATTTAGCTGAGTATTCTCTACTCATACGAAATGCAATACCCGCACCCAACTTCATCTCTTCGACACTTCGATCTTTGTATTATATTCTATCCTGCACCCCTATTTCTAACCTCAAGGCCTGACAACATTTTTATTTCTCGAGTTATAGGCTGTAGATGAGGGTTAAGAGGCATTCTCCTACTCTATCATAATTACCCATAAATTGCATGTTTAGGTCTGACGTTTTGTGTACCTCATGTTCCATAGACTGCTACTGTGCGGCTAAACTACATAATAGGTGGAATTTGAAATTATATAGGATATCCTTGCTAATGGTTTGTGCCTATTCACGGCCTAGGTAGTCAGATGACTGAGATCATGACTTGACTGGCTTAGGAGAATATGAAGAGGTGCCAGTGCGATATGCATTGATGAAAAAAGATCGATCTAGCTGATCATGCTTCGTGTGTCTATCCGTCAGTTCGGGTTTCAAGAATCGACGGCAAGAGCGATGCCTATATCAGCGGATCATGATATACCGTATGAACGCCGCAGTCAGCAGTGGCATGCCACCGAAGATGGGCCGATACAAGCCCGGCTTTGCTTATTAGCATTTCAAAGGGGAGGCTTTTCTTCTTGGAGTCAATATAGCCTAGCTCCTTCATTTTGTTCTACTACTTGCCTTTTAGTGATATCACTTGTAACCTGTCTACGCAACCTATATATAGCAGGTAACAGAGTAAATGTAATTCATAGAGATATGGCATGGATGGCAAATACTGCATGTAACGATGTACGCCGTACAACAATTAATTTTCCGCAAACGGGTGTTTTCACACCAAAATAGTGATGCTATTGGAATCTGGGATATCCTTAGCGAGATGGCCGATATCGTTATATGGCCAGGGGTCTACTGTAGATTATAGCCAATTAAGCCATCTACTAGATCTGTCCTGGTTAGTACCGATCTTAGGTACAGCTGTTGCTCGCGGGTTTATACGGCAACTCCCAGCCAAACGTCGATCTGGGCTCACACGGACTCAGAGTTGACCACGACGGACAAATCAAGGACAAGGCAGCGATATTACATGAGAAGGGACACCGTTGCGGAGCAGTGCCAGCAATACCTCGCCCTCTTCATCGGAAGAATTGCAAGGAGAAATGGTACTTTATTACAGCAATGGACCTGGTTCAACGGCCAGCATGTTGACATTAGGTACGATGCCACTCATGAGGGGACAGCACCTGGCTGTAGGGACATAGGGGACTAGGAAGCAATCGATATCCATCTGTTCCTCCCAAACATGGCGATTATCAGGAATGTCTCGTTGGTGCTGACAAGCCGACGGGACAAAGGGTGCCATGTATGTACTATGGATCGTCGCAGCAAAGCCATGAAACAGGTGCAGTGTGCCAAGAGAGGCAACCATGGTCTGTGCAGACCATTCACCCTTGGTCCCTTGCACGCCTGTGTCCAGCCAATAGAAGATGGGGTACAGATACGTAGTCCTCTGCTCGTGTGTTTTTGTGTGCAACGATACCTAATCTTTCCTCTCTCTGTCTCTCTCTGTCTCTTTCTGTCTCTCTCTGTCTCTTTCTGTCTCTCTCTGTCTCTCTCTCTCTCTCTCTCTCTCTCCAGCTTCAACCTCACTTGCTACTGGATGGCCATAGCCGTCAGAATAGCAATTCCCAGCCACACATAGCTGACATCACAAGTACATACGCGGACAGTGTCATGTGCGCAGCGAGGGAGCGAGCGGGACGGTGGGCGAGCTTCCATTTCCCCGCATTTTGTGAGCTGGGGGAGGTGAATGTGCAGCTAGCCGACGTATGCGCGCGGGGTTTGTGCATAAGTTGGCTATCACCGTGCCGGCGCAACGCCTTCTTGAGTTCTCCACCTCGCCGATGATTGATGACCCTCTCGTGTTTTGTCCTCTTTCTGCCGCAGAGTCCGGGTCGCTGCCATGAACTTTGTCGATGTGCAACCCAGATCCTTCCTTGACTATGCCTGGACCTCTCCTTCGCCAGCCGGCGGGATCAAGGCCGCCAAACCGTCCAAAGCCGGCAGGAAGCAGAACAGGTGTTGCGATCAGTGTCGAAAAGGGAAGAGAGCGTGCGACGCCGCCATCCTCGAGGACACGCTGTTGGACACGAACAAACCATGTGGACATCCGACGGTGTTTCACTATAGTGGTATGTTGTTACCATAACCTTGGTTCCCAACTGTTACGCTACCTACCATGCCTTCACCTATCTCTACCTTAGGCCGGTGAAGCAAGCTCCGAGCCTACCGAGACAAAGTGTAAACACCAACAAACTAACCAGACTAGACGTCTTTGGTCCTCTGACCGCCTGTAGTAATTGCGACAAGACAAAAAAATCGTGCACGTTTGACTGGCTTCGATCACAGCGCGTTTCGCAAGCTTTGCAACCGCAGTCGGGAACCACGCCCCCAGCAAAGCGTCGCCGCACGCAAAACCGTCGTCACGACGAAACCGAGCAGCCGTCTACCGCTGCCAACGGAAAGACAGACAAGGTCGCATCAAGGCCTAGTAGTGAAGCCTCGGCTTCGCGGACGACGCCAGTGGAGTTGGGAGTGACCTTTGGAGACTTTGCCTGTGGAGCGTCTTCGTTGGACTCGAATACGAGCCTGCCTGCGTTCCAGCTGCCATCCGCAGTGCTCCCATACAGTGCCGAGCCCTGTATCCAAGGGGAACACAGTCCACCAGAATGCGACTCGACCAAGCGTTCGTCGTGGGAAACCCCACCAGGCGATGTAGATAAGATGCATGACGCTTATAGCCGATGCACATCGCGAACGAATAGTGAAAATGGATCCACGCAGTCTTCCACCATGAGTGACACCATGGTTCCATGTAATCGAAAACGACGTCGGCGCAGTCTGTCCCCTGTGTTCATCACAAATGCTGCCTATCATCATGCCGCAATATCCATTGAGCGCAGCCTATTCACCACGACGAACAGTACATACCTTACAGAAGGCTTGTTACAAATCTATCAAAATAGCTTCGAAAATGCTCTTTCGTGTTGGATGACGGAGCGCACCTGTCCATACAGTACCAAGACTGATATTCTGTTGGCCAACGGCGCCACCCCAGATTGGAATCGAATCTATCATCGTGCATCTCGGCTGGACCGCTTGACGGCAGCCATCCGGGGAAGACAACTGACGTATTCCGAAGATCAAGCAGTGTCGAGATGCCTAAACTTGGCAATCTATGCTTTCGCCAGCCAATGGGCCCAATCCAGTCAACGAAGCAAAACAAAGTATCCCTACAAGGCCGGCATGCCAGACGACCAGACCTATGCATTTTCAAACGGTGCTACCGATGACAACGCATCGGCCAATGTCGAGTTTGACCAAGTCGTCCAGACAACTGCGTGGCATGAGGCACGCAATGCATTGCAAAGCGCGGGGGATATCGAATCCTTCCGTGTAGTTCTCGCACATATAGTCTTTGCTTTGACCCAAAAGCCGGTTGATCTTACAGAATCACTACAAACAGATATCGATGGTATGAGTCAAGAGCTGGAACCAGTTTCGAGCGAGAATGAGTGTGTAGATCTCATGTCCAAGTTGAATCTTGCTATCGAAACCGAAGGGCCACCAGTACACCTAGAGAAGGGGCTTCGCTTGATTCACTCTCTTAGGTCTAAGATGGCCATGCTCGGTGACCACACGCGCACTGGTTCTGGCGTCTCACGCTGCTCGACGAAGTATCGCGCCGTGGCCAATCGCCTCGACGCTGCTGATCGTGCCACGGTTGATTTACTGTTTTGGTTAGCAGTCATGTTCGACACACTGTCAGCGGCAATGAATCGGCGACCCTTGGTCGTCTCAGACGAAGACAGCAACATATATCCCAGTGAGAGCGGCCAGCGCACAGAACAAGGGAACTTCGACACAGAAGTGCCCCCTACAACTGATGGGCTCTGGGACAAGTACCTCTTCGCCCATCAAAAGGAACGTCTACAAAGACATCCCACAAGGTGGCCTTGCTCCTTTGATCAAGCTGCGGCTGTGCTTTGCGATGCTGCTCCCGTCAAGGTCCTACTATTTCGAAAGGTCACCCGAATTCAAACTCTTCTTTCTCGAAATTCGCAGGCGCCCAAGATTGAGGAAGCCATCGAGGGGGCACTGGAAGTGTGCAAGCACTGGAACAAGCTGTATGCACCTTTTATCCGCGATTGCCTGGAGCATCATGATCGACTACCTCCACGTGTGCAATCTTGGTACACGTGCCTTACAGGTCACTGGCACCTTGCCACGCTTCTTCTAGTCGATCTTATTGAAATAGTAGATGACTCCGGACTCGGTATCGAGGAGAACAGAGCTGTACGAATGTCGAGTGAATTCGTTGCCCGATTCCGCGAAGACCACTGCCGCACACTTTCCGATTTGGCGAGGTGCGCATGTCCCAGACCAGATACTACCTTTGCACGGTCTGGGGAATTTCATTTTGCAGTGAGCGAAGGCGCGCTGCTGACAGAGCCATGGACAGCGGTATTGATCCGGGCGTTTGCAAAGGCAGGTGTTATATTACTGGAGTTGGAGGATACAGTCGCTTTCCGCCTGGACATGGACGGACATGACGCCTTTCAGCGAGCTGATGACTGTGTAAAAGCGCTATGGTTTTTGGGAAGGAAGTCTGACATGGCACTTTCGGCAGCAAAGATCTTGGGTGACGCCCTGAGACAAAGGCGAAAAGACACACAGGAAAAGGTACAAGAGGTGAGCACTTTCCTCGAGACTGAGCTCTGGCATGGGTTTGAGGGGTTCGGGGCGTTTGAGGCCGACTGTGATTCATGAGAGATACCAAACATGGGCTCTGATAACTGCCCTTTGAGCGTCTGGTGACTTGCTGGTGTTGTAAATTATGAATGCAAAAGCAAGAATTCGATTTGTGTTATGGAAAATCAAAGCTTGTGGATTTCATTGCATCAAGGTTTCCGTTGTTTGGCGTTAACAAGGCGGATATTCATAGTCTCACCGAAGCGGCGTAGGTGCATACTGATGATAACGAAAGAGAGTACACATCGTATAAGAATTGATGAAATGTAAATGAGATTGGCAAGTCACATGGAAACTTCAATATGCTGATGGGTATCACGTACCTGTAAACGTTTCAAGAGCAAACGAGAACGTAACATGCTCAAACAGTACTGATCATCAGCATCAGTATTATCAGTATCCCTAAACCATCAACAAACCCGCCAACAGAGACCACACAATCTCTCCGCCTCCCACACCCCCAATCGCTTTCACATACCCCTAATCTTCCTCCTCTGTTTCTCCCGCTCTTCCACATCGATGTTGATATTGAAGTGCCTACTCCTAATCTGCTCGTAGAACTTGCCCGCAGTCACACCCCTCATCGGCTCCGGCCATGTACCCACAATCTCCGTCTCAAAGTCTGCAGAATTGATCAAGACCGGCTCATGAGCCCGGAGAACGAAGACGATGGAGAATCGATACCTCGTCTTCTCTTCGACTGGCGCGGACGCGGAAACAGTAGAGGGAGAGCTGGGTCCAGGCAGACGACCGTACGAGACAACCCTGTGACCGCCCGCTGGATATCGGCCATTGGAGAGCCTTTCCAGTTGGCGTCCAGCAAGCATGATCGCGCCTTTTCGTCCAGCGCTGTGCATCTCCCTCTCGCATTCGAACCAGGTAGATCCGTCCCAGACTTCCAGGCCAGGCACATTGCCAACCACAACGCTCAAAAGACCAAGATCAGCATGCGGTTCAGCGACCTCCTTTGCCTCCCAGCCCTCGTAGCGAAAGAGCCGAATCATGGTCGCCGTCTTGGTTGCATCACTCTCAGGCATGCGTGCGCACGGCCCAAGAAATTGCCTCAATCCCTTGGACTCGTCCTCGTTCTCTGGTAGACCCAACGTCGTCCCGATTCTCCCCAGCGTGGTGGACAGATGCGCGCCCATCAAGTTCCAAAACCGCTGTGCTGGCCCGCGAAGAATCTCCGGGCAATATTCGAGCGTTCGCAACGTGATGAATTCTTTTTCTCCGCGGATACTGGACCAGCCTTCTTCGGACCCGAGCTTGTGTTTCCACTTCTGCTTGTCGGCTTCTGGCTGGGCGAAGAAAGCTTGGCTGGCGGCGAATAAGGCCTCATACGCTGCTTGCAAGGGATGGGGCCCAGGAACAGGAAGCATATCAGAGGATCCTTTAGATTCGTCTCCTGGAATAGAATCGGGAATGCTAATTGTCGTCCAGCCAAGCCTGGACAGGGACTCCTGATGTTCTGATAGAACCAAGGGCAAAGGTGTGACGATGAGTGGTGGCCTTGAATCTTGTATGACATCTTGTGCTTTATTGGGGATGCAAACAGCACGCTTGGTCTTTCTTTTGGATCGAAAGCGTGAAATCAAATTTGAGATGGTGAAGTGATTGTCTGATGGCTTTGGGGACATTGTGGAGGCCATCGCGGTGTGAGTGTCTCGTCGATGATTCCAGCGAAGCGCGTAGATGTATAAGCTATTCATATGAGACAGCCCGAGTGGTAGTGAGTAATCACGCAGGATTTTAAACGTGCAGGAAGCATTCATGGTCCTCAAAGGTCATGCATTGATGTGATGTTACGAGTAGAAACTAAGCTAAGCCACAATAGCTCAGCCCCAACCGCCCAGTGGATGTCATGCCTAAAGCCTTCCACCAAGGGACGCATGTGTAGCACTTGGACCATGTATACAATCTTGATATCACATTTGCGTTTGTATATATAATGTTCTTGTTAGTAGGCTGCGGTTTGCTCATATACGTGTCCGATTCTTATCCCAGAGATGGCTCTCTCTCGACAGAAACCAGTCATGTAGAACCGGCTTCACTTTTACAACACCATTATCAGTGTCGACACCAAATTGCATGCCTGGCTTCCAGCTTCCACCCTCTGCGCTGACCTTCATGCTTGTCATCATCTCCAAGCGACACAATGCAAGTCCAACTTGCCCAACTCCAGCTATGAATTTGCCTGCAGCGCGGCCTCTCTTCGTCCTTCCGTCATCATCCAATTGTTTGATGTCTGTACCAGAGACTGGTGGAGAGACCGAGGCACCGGGATGTTCCAACTGGATGGGGAGCATGCGCTTTCGCACTACACCAGTGTGTTTCGTTCGAATCGTAAGCTCCTGGCCGACATAGCAACCCTTTTTGAAATCTATCCCCGAAGATAGATCGATATTACATTCCATTGGTAATGCGCTTTCTCGTGGGATCTCCACTGGCCCTTCTGGTACCCCGAGCAAATAGCGTTGGAGGTGATATTCACTCACATCCAAAACTTCCGATCGATCTGCTAGTGAGGTCCGATCATGTGCCACGAGATATCGATGGAGTCCTGGTGCACGCGGATCCTGCAGGTCACTGACAGCATTCTCCTTGGGTACTTGCGCAGGCGCATCGCCCCAAGCAGCCCATATACCAACCGATTCGGCGTCTTCAATCGTCACCTTGCTCCGCAGTTTGTGTCGCTTCAGGTGCTTCTTGAGGGCACCTGCCTCGGTTTGATCCACTTCAATATAACACGCCCAGTGTCCCTTTTCCGCCACCAACTCGGGCCAAACCCAGATGAAAACATCCCACAGGACTCGGCCCCTGGCGTCCAGAAAGGCGGCATAGAAGGGAGCCTGTCGGCTTGCATCGACGTTGTTCGTGATGAGTCCTTGAAGAAATTTGGCTGCATCAGGGCCCGAGAGCGAGATGAGACTTCGATGGGCGAGCGGTGCCGAACCGGACTTGCGAGGCTGTGAAGGCGAGTGTGTTGAAGAGTAGAAGCGAATCGGCATGGTCGCAACCGCCCGAGTGCGGTTGACGTGAAAGTGGCTATGATCTACATAGCTGCGCGTCTGCCATACTGGGTGTCGTCGCAGTGTGTTTTCATCAGACTGCCATGGCGCGGTAAAGGTAGCAAAACGTGACCTTGGGAGTACACGTGCGCTACACAAGCAAGAATCACATGCGTAGCCTGATGTACGTACATGCACACGAGGGCGCAGTGCCGGCATGTTGTTTTGAATCAGCCAAGATCTTGTTGTGGTTGTGGTTGTGGTTCTGGATGTCGTCTTCGGGCATTGGTACCACCATTATCGTCAGAATATTTCGTCATGACGCCTCGGCATGTCCACTTTGGGAAGTCCGGACCATTTCCAGCCGCCTCGCGTTCCGGTAGTAGATGACGATAGAGCTTGGTCAAGTATTGCTTTGATCTTATGGTATTACGAAGCGCCAGCAATGCATACAACAGCCGTACCACGAAACTACAGAGTCAATTCAGACAAATCAAGTATCTCAATCACTTTGCAACGCCAATGCCCATTCCTGAGCAGGTTCTGTGACCCATGCCTCTGTCGCTATCAAACTATTGAATAAACGCCAAATCTAATCATTTTTCCGTTCCGAGCCCGTCAGCTTAGAGTATTCATCGTCTCTGTCCCGAGGACTTGATGGCTCGCCGTCGTCGCTGTTGTCGTCGTCGTCGCTCCACTTATCATCCTCGCCTACAGCAAAAATCGTATCACCATCGAGACTCTCTCTTGGGGGTCTTATGGGCTTCTGTGCTTGTGGTGCCGGTAGGGGCGATGTGTTGCCCGCACTGTTCCCCTGTGACCTATAAGCTGGATCATAGGAAGGCGGCTGATCATTTGGGCCTTCTTCCTCATCAAGCGAGTCTCGGATGGAGGCGATCTCGAAACCCTCATCGTCTTGCGCAATCTGTCATACTATAAGTAGAGGTTCATTTTGGAGGGGTTCGTGGAACTTGCCTCGTCGCTCATGGCGAATCGTCGATTGTTGGCTGTGGGCCTCCACATGTAGGCGACGAAACAGACATCGACTAGATATACCAGGTTTAACCAGCCATCGAGCACAAACCAACGCGTCTGCCAATGCGTTGGTGCAAAGTCTGGGGTCGATGTTCCTGCAAACGTGAAACTGTTGATGAAGAAGAAACCAAAGATCACGATGATACTGGACAAGATGCACCACCACAGTCGCTTATACATGGTCGCCTTGACATGCTGCTTCCGTTCCATGAGGTCTTTCATCGTAAGGTTCAGCGAGTTCAGGGTCCAGATGTAGAAGGCGGTCAAGGTGGCTGACAGCGGTAGGATAACCAGGAGGACAAGGGGTCCAGCATCGTCAGGACGTATTGTGAGGGATGCCACAGCATATATGACACCAAATACAAAGTGCGCGACTGCAAGCCAGCGGACAATGGTCATGGTCTTCCCAAGAGAAGGCTTCACTACACCGTAGCCCATGCACACAATCAGAAGCAGGAAAAATGAGAATGAGTTGCGGAAGGCGTTGAGGACTGCAACGATGATCATAAGAACCTTGGCCGCCACATTGTTGCCATGGCGGTTTTGATAGTCATAGTATCCCCAGGTCATCAGCATCTCCACCACCAGGAAGACCAGGATGGCAGTGATGTAATTTTGCACCGCGAGAATGTCGTGCCTGTTTTGGAAATACAGGAAGCCCCAAAAGGCCAAGACGACAAAGTAGACGATTGTAATGCCACCGTAGAAGGGGAGCTTCGCGATCTGGGCAGCCTGTAGTTCTCCATAGGCATTGCGGAAGGTCACAATGGCCTCGTACTCGAGATCGTCTCGGTCGGATGCAGCTGCCACACAGTAGTAGCCCGTCTTGATCTTGAGTTTCTTTTCGCCCGCTGAGACGGGGTACTTGATGGGCTTGGGATCCCTTAGGTTGACAGCAGCGGTGCGGACGTACATCTGGGAGACGACATCGACGTCGTCGGCGAGGATCCACTCACCCTTGTGGGTGGCGTTACACAGCTGTGCATCAATCGTATCATTGCTGCAAATGTACTCGCGCTATATCAGTGTGTCAGCGTACCGGTCTCGAAAGTAGTAGTTGTGGAGGTGATGGTAGTGTGGTGATGGTAGTAGAAGTAGAAGAAAGCAGGAGAGAGGAACGGGGAAGGGCACCAACATCTGCAACGGGCATATCCGAGGGCTTCCCCAGTAACAGCGTATCTTTCCATTCCCAGATGACTATGCCGACCGTGGGGTTCTCGATGCCCTTGTTGCGCTCGCCGTTGTCCATGAACTTGACCAGAATAAACGGGTCAACCTTGCCTCCCCACGACTTCTTGCTGTACATGCCCGAACATTTCTGGCGGTCTTTATTACTTAGCATCACATCCATAGCGGTTACGGCTGTCAGAAGCGACAGCAGCGCAACTATGCGCAGCCATGGCCTCATTCTGGTGTACGCAGAGAGAGGCTCGAGAGCCGGACTGAGGTCTGCGATGAAGGTGACGTGTGCGATAGAGGCAACGGGTGATGCGGAATATTCAGTTTGGAGGTTGGCGTACAGTCAATGTGAAGGTATAGAGTGTAGGAAGTACGGGATAGCCTTGCTTTTGGCCAGGAATGTGCAGCGCGTTGCAGGTGCTGCTTTCTCCAATTGTTTGTTGCGACGACTCGTCAGACGTCTTGTCGGCTTCCTTGCGCTTACTTGCGCGTCCGTCACTCCCGTGCGATGCGGTCTTATTCCCGTTTAGCGCGACATCTCTTGTGGCGGTGCACTCTGCCGCCAAGCCACATCAAGCAGCACAGCCACTACCGAAATCTCAGCCCTATGCACACACACACACAACTCTAGTACAACACAACACCATCATCCCCCCCACACAGGACGCATATATGGCATCTACCAAACTGTACCCCACTCACCACTTCTTCTCCACCCATCACCATGCCAAGCAAACAACCTGGAATTTCCAACAGTGAGCCCTGCCGCCGTTGTCATGACTCTCCTTCCGTGCTCGTCGTGCGCTCGGAGCCACTATGCCAGTCAGTGTGCCCCCGCCAGACCACCCTTTGTCATACTAAACGACGTCTGTAGTGAATGTTTTGCTCGCTATGTGCACACCAAATGCATCAAGCGTCTAGAGTCTTTCCGTGTGAATTTCTCGGCCACAGCCCCGCAACGTCGAGTGCTTGTACCCCTCTCCTTTGGTGTCTCCTCCATAGCTCTCCTGCACATCTTGCATCTTCATTTGACCACACAGAAGAGCAAGACGGGTCGTACTGGCTTTTCTATCCACGCCGTTCACATAGAGGATTCCTACCAGGATACCCAGGCCCATGATCTACTACGCAAGGTCCAAGAACAGTACCCCGACTGTCAATTCACGTCACTTCCACTACACGACGTTTTCAGTATCAATTCAGTTGACCCAGCTCTTCAGGCCTTGCTTCCAGAATTCATTGCGGGAGAAGATGCAGACTTGTCACCTCAACAGTCACTCACGCGTTTCATGGCCTCACTCACATCGGCCGCAGCCAGAGCGGACGTTTTGTCCATCCTCAGAACTCGGCTCATCATAGAACATGCAAAGGCTACTGGATGCCAAAGCGTTCTCTGGGGAGACAGTACGACCAAGCTCGCTGAAAAGACTCTGTCCGAAACAGCCAAAGGTCGAGGATATTCCTTACCGTGGCAAGTCACAGATGGGCCGTCCCCCTTTGGTTTGAATGTTCACTATCCACTCCGTGATGTGCTCAAGAAGGAACTCGTATCATACATCAACATGGCGCAGCCTGAGCTTGCCGCTCTGGTGCAGAGCTCTTCATACGGCGCCACGCAGGCTTCCACAAGTTCCAAGAACACCACTATCGACGACCTCATGAAGCAGTACTTCGAGTCCGTCGAAGAAAACTTCCCCAGCATAGTCTCCAATGTAGTCCGTACGACGAGTAAACTTCAGGTGCCCGCAGGTGCGCCAACAGAAGCCTGTTGTAGTCTTTGCAAAATGCCCGTGCCTGGTGGCAAGTTTGGCATCCACGGCTGGGGTGGTGATCAGCAAGATGGCATTGATTTCGCATCAGTGGATGTCAGCCAACAGATCTGCTATGGCTGCACAAGATCAATTCCAAAGCCTACGGATGTCGCGAGTCACACCTGAGAGAGTACGAACCGCTGCAGCTCAATCCATCTGTTATGATGGTCTGTAAACAGGCTATAGTCATGGAAGTTGGGAAAACCGAATACCCCCTCTGCTTTGGGCTCTTCGTTGATTATCACTGTATTCATCGAAATTCCACTTGCATGTATAGCCGGTAAATCAATCAAAACCCTGGTCGCAGTAAAAGCCTCAATGGCTCTGAGTCCGGATATCCATTGGACCGCAGTTCTTTATCATCCAATTCGATGCAATCGCATAACACTCCTCTCGATTAAAGCTGGCTTGTCTCCCGATACAATCATCAAGGAACACCCTCCTGTATGAAATCGGCCAACGACCGCACACCAAAAATACTCGAGCAAGTCCAAAATGCATTTTTTCGCCCTTTTCCTCCTTTTCATCACCACTGTCCCCCAAACCCTCGCTCACTGGAACTATGACCGAATTATCGTCAACGGCAAAATCATCGGATCCCCGTACCAATACATCCGCAAATCCAACAACACCAACGCCCCCCTCCAAAACGTAAACTCCACAGACATGCGCTGCAACTCCGGTGCCTCCTCCGGTACCCTTCTCCACACGCAGACGTACACAGTAACCGCAGGCAACCGCCTCGGCTTCGCAATCCACGACACATTCGGTCACCCTGGCCCCCAACAAGTCTACCTTTCCAAAGCACCAGGCTCGGCCGCAGCATACGACGGCAGCGGAGACTGGGTCAGGATCTACAGTCTGACGTATTCGCTGAATGCGAGTGCAGGTGCGAGCGACGGCTTGCTGAAGTGGGCTACGCACCGCGCGCGAACCTTTAATTTCAGATTGCCCTCGGAATTGCAAGCTGGAGAGTATCTCTTGCGCGCCGAGGGTCTTGCGCTTCACGCAGCGCATAAGCCGGACAAGGCGCAATTCTACGTCGCGTGTGCGCAGATCAAGGTTTTGGGGTCTGGTCATTCTGTGCCTGGACCGACAGTCAGGTTCCCGGGTGGCTACGCGTGGGACTCGACTGGTGTGTTGATTCCGGGTTTCTGGAGCAAGATTACGAATTATACGGCTCCGGGTCCGGCCTTGTGGCCTGAGGGGACAGTGGAAGCGCATGTGTTGGATGGAGTCAGGAAAGTGGGTGCTGATTGATCGAAAAATGCATCATTGACAAATTTGATGCAAAAGTCGTGCTTTTGTGGTATTGCGGATGATATATTGTAAGCTGGAATATATACACTCACCAATCGATTCTCATTGGGTTTCCGTCCTGCTCTCCACTCCGTAGACATGCCTCTAAGATCTTGAGGTCACTTAGTGCCTCCTCTGGACTCTGCGCCTCATTCCTCTGTCCCTTCTCCAAACTCTCCGACCAGGCTTTGATCTCCTGTCGTACACCATTCCCCTCATCACCAAACTCCTTGACTACTTCCTTGCCCTCCTTTACAACCGTCACCTTGCCCCGACTGACATGCACACTCCCCTTCTCACACGCAACCATGTACTCCGAACCCTTATCCGTGGTCCCGAAAGATACGGACAGGGTCCCAGACGCTCCGCTTCCCAGCTTCAGCGTCGAGTTCAACGTATCCACCGGCGGCAAGTGTTTCTGCAATTGGGCCGTGAACGCGCTGACGCCGTGAATCTTTTCACCACCACCCTGAAGCATCACTCGCATCGCCGCAATAAAATGCACACCACCATCCAGCAGGAATCCGCCCTGGTACTCCGGCACCTTACGCCACGCCGTCTCAAAGTACTTTCCACCCGCCTCCACATAGGCTGCGACACGCACGCGGAAAGTCAGAACGCGGCCCAGAGACGCGATTTCCCGGGCTGCGTAGAGGAAGGAATCCAGGTAACGGAAGTTTTCGGCAACAGCATACATGGCTGTTGTTTCCGAAGCGTCCTGGGTCCAGGAGAGGAGGGCTTGTGCGGTGGCGACGTCTTTGGCGATGGGCTTCTCCGCTAAAACGTGTTTCCCTGCCGCCAGAGCTTTCTTGATGAACTCGGGCTGCGTGAGGATGGGCAGACTACCCGAGTCGGCGAGTGTCAGTTTGAGATCGATGTGGATGGTGCGGTAGTGAGGAGAGCAAGACGTACGCAATCACCACTCCTGTAATATCGTCGCGCCTCAGCAGATCCTCGTATCTCTTGCCATTGGGCGAATCATCGCTGTAAATTGCGCCGTCGGAGAGGTCCTCGGTCAAGGCTCGTGCGGACTTGAAAGATCGGGAATATACGGCTTTCAAGCTGAGTGTTGGGGTTGCCTGGATGGCAGGGAGATGCTCTCCTTTGGCAAAGATACCACTGCCAATGATTGCGACTCCGATAGCCATTGCGTTGCTATTATGACGTCCCGTGGGTAGATTGAATAATGGGAGTGACCGTGCGAGAAGGAAGAAAGAGTCCCACGTCTGCGAAATTGCAATCCGTCTCGATGTACCGGTACTCTGTAGAGCGGGAGATAGTAGATATATATGCTTGCAGTTAGAGTGGCCACTATAGCAGGCCCGTGGCTAAATCTGATGTTTGACTTTAGCGTTGCTTTTCCATCGCAACTGCGTCATAGCAGAGGTTTGGCCCGCTATGAGGAACCAGTTAGGTATCGTCAGAGTACTCGGTAAGTTAGCGACGTTTAGGAAGCTTTACCCAACAGAGCAGCCACAACAGTTCTGCACCGCGGAACGAACTGCCTTGCGTACTTTTGACAGATAGGTAACACATTTTGGCATTAGAGTTGTAAACGTTGCTGCACGCCTTGTTCAGAGTACTTAGTCATCAGCTTTGGGGGGTGACACAGGTGACATGACGCAACGCCAGGTAATCAGACAGTACCGGTACCGTACTTGTGAAGATGAAACATGTTCGTGTTCCCGTATATCTGACGCAACTTGATGGACAGCTTGAGTGACAACAGCCTTAGTACGCGCCCTAATCATAGTTTCTTTTTGCCCGTAGTGATCACGGCTTACTGGTGCTGAATGTGGCTGATCGCGGGTCGTTGCGGGACCTGGTCGCGACTTGGGTAAACACCTCGCCAGTCTCGCCAACATGTCGTCTTTTCCACTGGTTCGACACGACACATGACGAAACCGGTGTCGTCGTACTCTCAGTACGGCACTTTCCACCCAAGATATATCCAAGTACTTCCAAGCGGTGTGTAGTTCAGCTGGAAACACCGACATCGAACCATGTTGCTGCGTTTCAGGGGGCACACAACCGCTCTGACAAGTTCCATTTTCAATCACCAGCACCACCTCGCGACGGAAGCAAGGAAGTTTCCGAGATCCACTGCAGATCAACGCCGATTGCTAATCCGTTATAGGATTGAGCCACACTTCAGCTACGCGTCCTGTACCAGTCAACTCACGTATGAAGCAACAACTAGGATGCTCGAACGAGGCGAAACGGTTGGTGTAGGGGAGATGAGCAGATGTACCAAGAGGTCCCAAAGCGCTGGGTACAACAGTAGTTGTGGTATAGGCAATGCGGTTTCGTGATTGCAAGAATAGGAAGAAAAGCATTGCTAAGGATGCTTCATCACGGTTTCGCTACTACATGGCAGACCTGGTGCCTGAACCAGGCAGCATAAAACCATTCATGAGGACAGAGCGGACGCTATCGAACAGTACCCCAGAGCTGGACTCCTATTAACTATTATTATTTTATTTTATTTTATTTTATTCTTTGCCAAATTTCTGTTCTGTTCTGTCCTCGCGCTCGTTATACTGCCATTCACATCGATTTGTGAATCCACGCAAGTCTGCTGGCAGACAAGAAAAAAACTTACTAAAAACTCAAAAAATCAAGACAAGGTCCCAGAAACGATGGGGTTCGGTGTGCTGGAAGACAAGCACATGGCGATGCCTCCGGGCACCGCCACCATCAATTCCACGGAAACAGAGGGTACGAAATGGGCGCGGAAGGAACCAACGGCCAGCACAGATATGTTGTGCTAACTACACTTAGTCGACGTCGACGACTCTTTAAAATCGAGCCCGCTCAAACGGGACGGCGATGTCATACTCCAGCCCCAGCCCTCAGACAGCCCAAACGACCCACTCAACTGGCAAGTCGCGCCGCAAGACGTTGTGGGAAATGTGCAGCTATGCTAACATCGTCTAGGTCGCCGGTCTGGAAAGAGACGATTATGGTTATCCTGGCGTTTAGCTCGGGTGTGACGACTTCGTGAGTTTGCGCGTACCGAACCGCCCTGACATGCCGAGTTGCTGACAAAGTATATAGGCTTGGGCCAATGATCACGCCCGGACTGCAAATTGTGGCGATGAAGTACAATGTTAGCATAGGAATGGTTACCAGTTTACTCATCGGCTTCCTCGCCTTTTGGATCGGGTTTACCACCTTCTTCACCGCAGCCGGGGCCAATATTTGGGGTAAACGGCCATTCTTTGTCATCTCCATTGTTATTCTGCTCGGCACCAATGTGTGGGGTTACTTTGGAACCGTGAGTTTTGTTTCACAGTTGCTTGACTTGCCACTGCTCGAGAGGCTAACTGAGCAAAGTCGTTCGCCTCGCTGGCCGTGATGAGAGCGATACAGGGAATGGCCTCGGCGCCACTCGAGACCCTGGTGACGTCGACGGTGTCTGACCTGTTCTATGTGCACCAGAGGGGTACTCGCATCAGTCTTTGGGGGTGTATGCTTGCCAGCGGTGTGCTTCTCGGGTTTGTGAGATGCCGAGTTTTTCAAGTAGACAGCAGCTAATCTTGGTCTCTAGTCAAATCATTTCTGGCACAATCATCCAGAACCTTTCGTTTGAAGCCACGTTTGGCATCTCGGCGCTCATCTACATCCCCCTCTTCTTCGGCATCTACTTCTTCGTGATCGAGACGACTTACAATGGACCCCGGCCGACAGCTACAAAGGTCATTCCGGACGAAAAGGACCTGTCATTCCTGGACGAGGACGAGCCGAAGCGCTCATATAGCCAGAGTCTAAGTATATTCAACGGCCGTCTGTCGCAAGAGTCATTCTGGAAGAATGTCTGGAAACCACTCCCTCTGATCGCGTACCCAGCAGTGCTGTTCTCCACCGTTGTGTTTGCATCGTACTTTGCTTGGCTGCTCACCATCTCGGTTCTCTCCGTCAGCATCTTCTCTGCACCGCCATACTCTCTTGGACCGGCTGACATTGGACTGACCAACATCCCACTACTGGGTGTCTCGCTCATTGGCTCCCCGCTCTCTGGATGGCTAGCAGATGCAGTTGCAAAAGTCATGGCACGCAGAAACAACGGTATCTTTGAGCCGGAATTCCGTCTGGTGCTCATGATTCCAGCGACAGTCTTTGCCACCCTTGGCTTCATAGGCTTCGGTATCAGCGTCCAGCAACAGTTGCCTCTTATCTGGCCGCTGACATTCATGTCTATCCATGCTCTGTCGGTTCCTTTTGCATCTACGGCATCATTGGCCTATGTCATTGATTGCCATCCTCGCGATGCTAATCAAGCTTTCGTAACCATCAACTTTGCAAAGGCCATTTTCACTTTTGTTGCAACGACCTATGCCAATGGCTGGCTGGCGCAGGCGGGACCTCGTGGTGTCTTTGATACCATTAGTATAATCAACACTGGCATTTGTGCCATGACAATCCCAGCCTATATATTTGGCAAGAGGTTCAGAAGTTTGGTGAGCGGTCCTTGGGCTTTTGCTGCGTGTAGATTGTGTGCTAACAACCGATTAGGTCGCCCGGAGCAACTTTGGCCAGAAACTCTCGGCATAATCAGGACGACTTAGGCATGCTTCAGCATAATTCTCCACGTATTCAGCTAGCAAATGACAGTATTCCCTCAAATGCGTGTCATGTATCACCATTTATTTTTGATGTGGTTCGTGTCGGGTCGCCACAGGTCCGAAGAGAACGAGAAGAAGGACGTACCGGTAGCAGTTAACTAGTATCATGAAATTCGAGCCAGTGTGATTGTTCCATTGCATAACGCTTGACCAAATGCTTTTCAATGTGTAGTGAGATTGCGCTCTCTGATGTTTAGTGAAATAAGAGGCGTGACAGGATGCCGCCAAACGAAGAGAGCCCGCTGTGCACAAATGTGGTGCGGGATGGATGCAGGATGTGTCAAAGAGGGGAGTTCGAAATCTTGGCGCAGCTAAGCCGGCTCGAGACTAGCTCACACAACACGACATGGCAAAATTGCCAGCAACCGACGACACCTTTTCCAGCACCCACGAAACACTCGCCGTACGCAGGATATCCACCTCTTTGCGTTCTCACCACCAGCCCATTGCAGAAAATGGCTCCCGCAACCGTACGTACACCGCTTTGCTGTCTGCTGGGCTGAGCATTGCGCCTCTCCCCCCGGCCATGAGAACAGTAGGCTAAGAGTAGAGTGAACGTGTAGAAGAAGTCCGCCGCCGGCGCAAAGAAGGGCCAAAAGGTCACCAAGAAGTTCATCATCAACTGCTCGCAACCCGTCAACGACAAGATCTTCGACATCCAGGCGTTTGAGAAGTTCCTGCACGACCGCATCAAGGTCGAGGGCCGCACCGGTAACCTGGGCGACGTTGTGCAAATCTCGCAGCAGGGTGATGGCAAGATCGAGGTGATTGCGCACCAGGAGTTCTCTGGCCGCTACCTGAAGTACCTGTACGTTTCTGTGGTTTCGCAGGATGCGAATTGCATTTGTCCAAGGGTGGATGTTGACGGTATGACAGCACCAAGAAGTTCCTCAAGAAGCAACAGCTCCGTGACTGGCTTCGTGTCGTCTCCACCTCCAAGGGTGTTTACGAGCTCCGCTTCTTCAACGTTGTCAACGATGAGGCGGATGAAGACGACGAGTAGATTATACCCCTTGTGTGATGAGATGACTTGAGACGGCATCCGAAATGGGATATAGACTAGGGCGAGAGTTCACAAGGCAGATTACACAATCTTGATTGATTTGCTGTCATCGCTAGATGCATGCTTCCTATGATGACTGTCGTGATGACCGAAGTTTTGCAATTGCATGTTGAAAGTGGAACCTGAAACCAGCCGCCCAAAGTTTGCAGTCGGATGTTGAGGTGGAACCTTGAGCAACAGTTTGCAGTCGATTGTTGAGGTGGATCCTTGACAAGGCAAACACCAACAAAACTGCGGACCAAGACCAGTTTGCCGTTGATATAGGCAAGCATTGCGTGGCAGTATTGAATCCGGGGAATCCGGGCAAGAAAAACAGCGTGCAATTGTAACGCGTTTCCCCCTGGGCACCCAAGGAGACGAGTACTCTACCTCGTAGGTAGTCCTGTAGCCGCTCACGTTGCAAGGGGTGGTGGGTTACCTCGATTGGCCAGCGCTAGCTAACAAAAAGTCTACCTAGTTTGCGACATGACCGTGAAAGAGGGCGACAGAAGATGCCGTGTTCTAGTTTGTCCGGGAGGTTTGAGGTAAGCCCTCCACGTATATAGGTGAATTAAGCTATTCCAATGAAGTAGCAATG